AGGCCTACGCCAAGTCGGCACCGGCCAAGCCAGCGGCAAAGACGACGACGACGCCGCAAAACCAGTGGCGTCCGTACTACCAGAAACCAACGCCGCCCCAAAATCAACCGCAACAGCAGCAGCAACCGGCGAAGCCCACACCCCCGGCTCCGCAAATCGCAGCTAGAGATCCGAACGCGATGGATGTGGACAGGTCACAGAGGGGGCCAATCCGTTGTTACAAGTGTGGAGGATTGGGGCACATGGCCCGGGACTGTAAGAGGAGGTTGGACGTGAGGCAGATGACGTACGAGGACCAGCAGGAGTACTGGCGGGAGGAGCTGACCCGCCAGGGTTTTTCCGAAGGAACCCAGGAGGCGTCGACCTGAGTTCCAAAAATAAGTATACAGCACTCGTCTCGGAGCCGGACTCCTCTTTTGTCGCCAAAACCCATGTACCAATAGTTATGGACAATATATCTATTTCTTCGACATCAGACGAGACACCTAAGACGCAAGAAAAGGAAAAAACAACTAAGGATATTTATGTGCAAAGATCGTTCTCAAACAAGAATTATGTACCCATCGACATTTCCATTACAACGCACGATACCCTGAAAGCTTTGAACCCGGAGTCGATGCTAGACTGTGGAGCATCAGACTCATTCATCGACCAAGGATTCGTAAAGAAAAACAACATAAAAACCAAAAAACTAGCAAACCCGGCGGTCATCAGAAATGCGGATGGCACGTCCAACAACGCGGGAAGAGTGACGGAGAAGGTGGAGATACGGATGATGTTCAGAGGACATCTAGAGGTCATGGTGTTCTACGTGACCAACCTAGGAAACGTCGACGTGATCTTAGGGCTGACCTGGCTAAAAAAGCACAACCCGGAGATTGACTGGAAGACGGGAGAAGTAGTCATGTCGCGATGCCCAAGGCAGTGCCTGAACTACCAGGACCAGCAGGGACAGCTCATGCAAGGAGAGCCGTATCCGGGTGAGGACGAATCAGAGGAAGACGTGGAAGAGGCAGGAGAAGTGCTGAAACCCAAGCTGGGCTTGAGGAACATATCGGTAGCAGGAGTGAGGCAGTGGAACCGCCTCAGAAGTGGATACTTGCGTGAACTGGACGACTTGACCAACCAATACTACGAGTCGGTCGCCCGAATGTACGTCAACCGGATGTGGAAGACGCACATGCACGTTGAAACCGAAGAAGAGGAGGAGATGCACTTAAGGGCAGTAGGAAAATATGACTATGTTATTGAACACGATCAGGAGAAACTAAGGGAACAAAAGGAAAAAACGGAAGAAGAGATGGTACCGGACTACTATCACGACTTCATGAAAGTATTTAGAAAACGAGACTCGGAGAGGATGCCGGTGGAGAGACCATGGGACCACGCCATTGAACTCACCCCGGATTTCGAACCGAAGGCCTCGAAGGTCTACCCATTGTCGCCGGTCGAACAACAAGAGCTCAATGATTTCCTCGATGGGAACCTGAAAAAGGGATACATTAGACCCTCGAAGTCCCCGCAGACGTCGCCGGTCTTCTTCGTCCAGAAAAAAGATGGAAAAAAGAGGCTAGTTCAAGATTACCGGTATTTAAATAAACACACCGTGCGGAACGCCTATCCTTTGCCGCTAATCTCGCAGTTGGTGGACAAGGTAGCGAAGGCGCGGCTATTCACGAAAATGGACCTCCGATGGGGGTACAACAACGTACGAATAAAGGAAGGAGACCAATGGAAGGCCGCCTTTCAGACGCCAAGAGGGGCATTCGAACCCATGGTTATGTATTTTGGACTTAGCAATTCCCCTTCCACTTTCCAAACTATGATGAACGAACTCTTTAAGGACCTTATCGACGAAGGGCTTGTAGTTATATATCTGGACGATTTACTTATCTTTACGGACAACGATGTACAAAAGCACCGAGAAGTGGTACGCAGAGCGTTAAAGATTCTCGAGGACAATGATTTGTATGTAAAGCCAGAGAAGTGCGCGTTCGAGGTGAACGAAGTAGAATTCCTGGGGGTAGTAGTGAAAGACGGCGAAGTGCAGATGGAGGAAGCGAAAATAGAAGCGGTAAAAAATTGGCCGGTTCCGAAGAACGTGCAACAAGTGCAGCAGTTCCTAGGATTTAGCAACTACTATCGACGGTTCATTAAGGACTTCGCCACCGTCGCTAAACCGTTGCACGAGCTCACTAAAAAGGAGGAGCAATTTGTATGGAATGAGAAAAGGCAGGGAGCTTTTGAGAAGCTCAAAACATTATTTACGGAGGAACCGATCCTGGTGCTACCAGACACGGATCGAGAGATGAAAATTGAGGCGGACTCGTCCAACTACGCATCGGGAGCAGTGCTCTCCATGTTATGCGAAGACGAAAAATGGAGACCCTGCGCTTTCCTTTCGAAGGGGTTCTCGGAGACAGAAAGGAATTACGACATTCACGACAAGGAAATGCTAGCTATCATTCGCGCCCTGGAGGCATGGAGACACTACCTAGAAGGAAACAGCCGTCAGTTCACTATTTGGACGGACCATAAAAATCTGGAGTACTTCATGACAACCAAAAAGCTGAACAGACGCCAGGCGCGTTGGGCATTATACTTGTCAAGGTTTAATTTTATTTTAAAACACAAGCCAGGAGCTTCGAATATGAAGGCAGACGTCCTGTCGAGACGACCGGATCTTGACAGGGGGGAGGACGACAATACGATGGTCCTTCTGAAGCCGGAGTATTTTCGAATCAAGGCCATGCAGCAAGGACATGTCCTAATCAACGGCGCAGAGTCGCCCATTTTATCAAAAATTAGAAAATCAAAAAACTATGATGAATCAGTAGTCAAGGCAGTGACCGAACTAAAGAGGTCGCCGACCAAGGTGCTGAGAGAAGCGGAATGGTCAGAAGAGCAGGACCTCGTATTATATCATGGAAAGGTGTACGTACCTAAGGATGTTGACATCAGAAGGGAAATCGTAAAATTACACCACGATTCAACTGTCGCAGGACACCCAGGAAGGTGGAAAACCATCGAGCTGGTCTCGCGTAACTATTGGTGGCCGGGAATGAACAGATTCATTGCGGAGTACGTCAAGGGATGCGACCAATGCCAACGAAGCAAGGCCTACTCCCGACAACCGCAAGGCAAGCTTCAACCGAACCCCATTCCATCTGAACCGTGGACAGACATATCCGCGGACTTCATCGTCAAACTCCCCAAGTCGGCTGGATACGATGCAATCCTAGTAGTCGTCGACCGATTCACCAAGATGGTTCGCCTCGTCCCAACAACTGAGGAATTATCGGCCCTTGGGCTGGCTAAATTATACCGGGACAACGTCTGGAAACTTCACGGACTCCCTAACACCATCATATCAGATCGGGGACCCCAGTTCGCATCACAAGTGATGAAAGAACTAAACAATTTATTGGGAATTCAGACGAGACTGTCCACGGCCTTCCACCCGCAGACGGATGGACAGACGGAGCGAGCGAATCGAGAAATCGAAACCTACCTCCGAATGTTCATCAACCACAGGCAGGACGACTGGGCAGAATGGCTGGCCATCTGCGAGTTCTCATTAAACAATAAAACCCAAACGAGCTCCAGGCAGAGCCCGTTCTACCTTAATTACGGGAAACACCCCCGGATGGGAGTCGAGCCGCGAAAGGAGTCCAAGTTAGAAGCCGTGGACGAATTCGCGAAACGAATGAAGCAGACATGGGAAGAGGCGCGGTCCGCATTAGTAAGGGCAGGAGAAGAGATGAAAAAATACGCGGACCGACGAGTAGGAGACATGCCGGAATACCGAGTCGGGGACAAGGCGTTCATCTTTACGGATAACTTAAACACGACCAGGCCGTCGCGCAAACTAGAGCAAAAGAAAATCGGACCGTATGAGGTGATTGCGGTGCCCACAAAAAACGCGATAACATTAAAACTCCCAAAAAATTTATCTATTCACCCCACCGTTTCCACTCATCGCACTGAAAGGGCGAACCAGCCCACCATCCCAGGGCAACGAGTCCCACCACCGCCACCGGTGCGAGTACGAGGAGAAGAGGAATTCGAGGTCGAGGAGGTGTTGGACAGTCGAATGAGGCGCGGGCGCCTTGAATATTTAATTAGGTGGAAGGGCTACACGATGGAGCACGACTCGTGGGAGCCGGAGAGGAATCTTGAGAACGCGCCGGAGCAAATTGAGGCGTTCCGCTCCCGACATTCTGGAGCTCCACGGCGCATCTCTCGAGCTCTCTTTGAACAGCTCGCCTGGAAGCCGAAGTATGTATTTACGTCACCAACCTACACCACAAAAACAAAAATATACGAACTGAGTGTGGAGGCGGAAACCGGCAATGAACAACCCGGCCAGCACCACGACCACCACCATAGCAATGATCCCATTGCGTTCGTTGGAACTAAGACTGTTCCAGGTGGCGAAGTAGGGGACGGTAGTATTCATATCGAAGAAATAATGTCGTCAAGTGGAATTGACGAGTCGTAGGAGGGGGGTGATGTTATGGACCGACGTTTCTTTCTTTCTTTTCCAACTATCTTTCTTATCTTATCAGGCACATGATGTATTACGACTTACTACTTACGTCATCCGGGCCGTCTGACTAATGGTCTCAGTCAGCGCCTCGCCGCTACTGCATGGGCGCAGTCAACAAGCGTCATACCACATGCAGCTGAGCTAAGCATTCCATGGAAAGACGGCAGGATGCAGCATGTAGTTAGACATGAGGACGTAGCATGTACAGTAGTATATAAGTGCCCTAATAGACACCCAGAGACGTTAACTCGTTCTCTTGGGAATCACACTAATACAGTGCCTAAGTCAGCGTCTTCGTGTTTCCTCCTCGTCTCTCACCTCTCATCTAAATACTTCTTGCTCCGATTCTTGTTGGGTCCGCGTACGCTTATTGTGTATTAGCGTTGCCCTAACAGTTGCGAGGTTAACCACATGAGCGATACACCTAGCATCTACGTTAGCTGTTATTCCACTACAGAAAGATAGCCGACATGTACCGTATGTGCTGTTGTTTCCGATCAAATCTATGTCCATCCCGGTGCATGCGCTCCTCGAAGTGCTCAAGCATAGTGTCGTTGTTTGAAGCATTATCGCAGGTCATATGTCCGACCTGTAAGCCAACTTGTAGTGTGAGGAGACAGATCGCTATGGCCAAAGACTGACCTTGTGCTGAATATGCACCCGTTCAATAATCTTGTATAGTGCGTGGCCGAGACGTTGGCCGTTGTGCGAGTTGTTGAGCTGGGTGAAACCAATCAGGGCCATTCCCATCTTCCACACACCTGGTCGCTCTTCTTCAATCCAATGGGCCGTTACCGCAAAGTAGGCGTCAATGTTTGACGCCTGCCAACAGTCGCATGTTAAGCTCACACGGCCTTGCACCATCTCACTCTGTACAAATGACATCAATGAGTATGTCATGCCCAAGTGAGTAAAAAAGGCTGACATTGACTCGTTCGCGTATTTTCGTGAGTGCTCGCTTGAACGTGACCATTATCTGGTTCCGTGTCATCTTGCGCGTCAGATGTTTCACACCGTTTGTTGCCCGTGCAGCCGTGTTGATCATGTTGCGGAAGGAAGGGTGTTCGAGAGCTTGGATAGGCTACAACAGTACATATTTGATAATAAACTGCGTCAAATCATGAATAAGGAACTTACCAAGTCGTTCTCCACAAGCCAATGGATGGCTGCTTCGTGATATACCTGGTCGGTGTACGGGGGTAGACGTGTTGGAATTTCTTTGAGGTGCGGGTCCAACGTTTTCTGTTGACTGGTGGTCTGTTTTTCTCTAAGTTGGGCACGGTATTTCGGAAGCTTCGGCTCGAACTTGTTGGCTTTACACCAAGCCATGTAGGGTTCCTTATTGAGAGAGGGTAGTCAGATCATCAAGTGGAGAAACAATCGAAATACATACTCGATGCGCTGACTCAATGTGTCGTCGTAACGTACTGACATCTGCCACAAAGCTCGGTCGCTCTTCACCCTGCCTTCTGCATTCAACAAGGGTTAGTAAATACGACAGATTCTTTCGAACGGCTCACCGTGGGCACTTCAAACATCTTCGCCGTTTTCTCTTGCCTTCTGGGGCACTCACTTCAAACGCCTCTGCAAAGAATTCATTTAGATCACGGCTTGTATCTTCCCGGCGTTTATTTGACATGGTATCGTTGTCGATGGCCTGTATGTTAATGTCTTTCAGAAAACCATCTTCGTCGAGTTGATTCGTTGCAGGCAGCGTGGTATCTACACCGTGGTATGAATGAGCAATGATTTGCTGTTAAAGTGAATGTGCTACAATCACCTTGACTTTCAGCTGTCCTTGCTCGCTTTTGAGATGATGATGGCTGAGTGCCATCCTGCGAGTCAGAGTCGGAGTCCTCTACAATTGGTTTGCGCTTGCGACGAGATGCAGGGACTGGTGAAAGCGGGCCTGGATATGGAGGAGTAAGAAAGAGGGCGGCGCAAAGGTGAGTTTTACTCACGGTTGCTATTGGCGACTCTCTCTATCTCCATCCTAGCTTCTTCATGGGAAGGATCGGTTGCGGCTGGAGATGAACCGGTGTGGGAAGCCCATTCTTGATTAGCTTCTTGGGCACGGAGAGCAGCTTCAGCTTCGGCACGAAGAATAGCTTCAGCTTGCGCAGCTCTATGAGAGGATAATTGCTTCTCGCCGATGTTGTCTGGATCAATAACCCTCGCCGAGGGGGCACTAACTCGCTTGGTACGAGAGACTGTATCTGGCGCCATACTCGGAGATGTACTTCCAGAATCATCGAGCTCGAAAAGGGCAGAACTGAGCCAGTGGGCTGGCTGTACAGTTGCTCGGAAGTCTCCGCGTGAAATTTCAGGGCCCGGTCACCAGCCTCAGGCTTCGGGCTTTCGAGTTCACAAGCCGAGCCTGCAGCCTGCAAAAGCCTTACACATGGCCTGGCTGGGCTGGGCTCAACTTAGGCCAGGTATGGCAAGGCTCCGGGCTTTGAGCCTGGCCTAGCACATCACTAGTATTTTGGAGGCTTTGATAGCAGTGTATTGCGACGCTCTTGAACTACGATCGCATTTGCTCCCGCTAACTCAAAAATACATTTCTTGAATAGAGGAAATAGACGAGATGAATTTACCGTTCCCTCCAATGGTTGCAAACAAAGCGGCGCTGCCGCCGCTGCGTCTCTTCTTTAGCCCCTAATTTGCCCTGACCGGGGACAGTTGCCGACTCCGGCGTGTTGTCCTCTCAGCTACACCATGTCCTCCGTCGAAGCCACTGTAATCATTGTATATCTCCGGCATATGGCTCATCTAGTACAGAGTTCTGCGCCTGAACTAGTCCAAAAGCATATGCCACGATTGGGGCTTCCCTGCCCACAAAAGGGGAACATCATCACCGACGCCCACCAGCCGTTCACGATAAAACTGCTGTGGCCAAAAGTCCCAAGAGGAGGTGTAGGCCTTACTGCTGTTCTTTTGAGTGCTCATCCAGAAGAAATGTTACAGCCTCTGCACAGGAACCTGATTGACAAAACAGGACAACGCGCCCTCACGGGAGCAATTCACGCACTTGATCAACTACAAATGTATGGTTTTGGCACATTCGGCGCTTACTTTTGCACGCTAATCTCAAGTTTACAGTGAGACGATCTATTATCAGGAGAGGTGGGACAATCTTTGCCACTCATGCCTGTACTCATTCTTCCCCCACACAGAGAGTTGCTTAGCCATGGACCGCACCACGCCGAGAGGCCTCGCCAACATCCGTACGCTTTAGCACAAGCCAGCCGTGTGCCAACCCAGAAGCCGCAGCAGACTCAACCTCAGACGATGCCGCAACAACCTACCGTAATAATACCGGTGGACCCGATACCTGAACAAACCATCCCTGGCGTAAGGCGGCTCAAATTCTTCCCTCACAATAACTATGTCTGATCCGTATATCTTAGATTGACCCGAAGGGTATGACTGGGATCGCGCCCTCCCCCAAGACACCTACGATAGTTTCAGAAAACGATAGAGCAACACATATCAACATGGCTCTAACGGAAGCCATAGCCCAAGCCGGGTCAACTTCACAGTCTCTGAGTAATGCGTCAGACAAATCCGATGCCCTGCTTTTGAAGGGCGAGGTAACAAACAGTGGGACCCTCTTCTCAAGTGGCTCAGGAACTGCTCAGCCACAGGCGGTAAGAGGTTGATATCCATGATTTCATACTATGTTCAAGAACCCTCTACAGCCATCGGCAGCGAATTCCCTTCGTGTTCAGTTCTTTCGTGAACTTAGTTTGAAAGACCAAAAGCTCGCAGAAGTGCAAAGGGCGGCAGCGGAGAAGGAGAAGGCGTTCGTTCAGCGACTCAACGAGGCCAGGAAGTCAGAAGAAGTCTTGTCATCCAAACTGAGTCTAAGCGACGAGAAGCTGGTGGAAATGCAGAGGCGACTGTCTGTCGCGACGGCCCAGGAGAAGGCGCTTATCCAACGTCTAGCGGAAGTCAGGACGTCGGAAGAGGCGTCGTCGTCGAAGCTAAGTCTGACGGAGAGGAATCTCGGGGAATTACGAAGGGCGCTCGCAGCAGCAGAGGCAAAGGAAAAAGCGCATGCCGAGAAACTTGCTGAAGTTGAGAAATTCAAAGAACTCAAGTCCAGATTAAGCGAATCGAATCACAGTATGTTACTACTTATTCTGATGGTGGGCTGATTTGTTGATTGAATCTAGGGCTGGAAGAACAATTGAGTACAGCAGAGCATGCTTTGACCGACGAGCGGAGGAAGCGTCTGGAAGTTGAGGAACACCTAATGAACACAGAGGCCAACTTCTCCAGCGAACAGAGACGGCGCATGGAAGCGGAGGCTCGATTGGACTCTGTGGGCAATGCTCTAGTGGACGAGCGCAGAAGGCGTTTAGAAGTGGAGGGGATATTGGCAGACATTACCAGGGAACAGAAGGAGCCTTTTGTTGTACCAGCTTTGCTGGAGGCCTTCGTTTCCATCTCGAAAATGACGACCGCGATAAAGAAAGGTCAGTGATTATCAGCGTTAGTTCATGTGTTACACCGTTATACCGTCATGGTGCGGAGCTTAATGGCCTACTTTATGATTTTATATTTTATCGGAAAGACTTTGTTGTACAACATTCATTTTCTTAGATTAAAAGTATGTCAAACTAGATGTGCTTGAAAGAACTCCGCTGTTGGCGCAAACCGATGTTGGTGTTCAAGATGACACGTGGTAGGTGCGAAGAAAGTACTCACACATTTGAATCGCAGAACGCTTGTATACGCGCTCGAGGATGGGGGAGCTATAGTTCACATACTGGATGCCGAATCTGTGATACATGTGAGTGATTGAACTGGAACCAAGCCTTTTACTGGACCTTGCACTTAGTCCGCTGGCCCACTCAGCGTTATCGAGCATAGCTATAAGACGTCAGCGTGAGTGATTAAGCAAATACCAATGAGTTACCCCATGCAAATGTTCCTGCGATAGGCAGTTTATCTTCGTGAATAGCCAAAAGAACCTCCCCGAGGTACGTCATAAAGTAATCTGGGTGCCGCCGCGTGCATTAGCGACTGACAATGGGGAACCAAAATTGACGAACTTGTCCGAGTTACATCTTCAGTGATTTGAGACAGCTCTTGGCGTTCGTTCTCGAAGGGCTCGACAAATCCAAACTCAGCTATGTACTGCACGGCTCGTAAGTCGTAAATAGCGTCAAATGCAATTGCGCAGAGGCCCACCATCTTCTTCGTTGGCCACCTTTTTTGGAGCTCTTTCAGCGAGTCCCTCAGGAAGTTTGGCGTAGCCTGCAACCAGCCACTCAGAGGATCGGCCGACGGCCCTGCAGCCCAGCCAGCTTCGGAATCAAACAATACAACTTGATTGCAAGCCGGCCATAAAGGATGGGATACATCGTTGACACAGGCTTCTATGCCATCGGACGGCGAGGAGACCCATTGGGTACGGTATGCATCAATGGCAAAAAAATCGGCGGTGCCTGCGATTGCCCGGAGTCAAGCTTCGTAGCACCGCACAAACAGCTCGGTCGCACCTAAAATATCCTCCCGTTCCTTCTTCGTGAAGCGAGGCAGAATAGAAGGTGGGAGAGTCTCTTTCAAAGCCTCAGGCCAATCTCCTGTCGTATAAACAGGATCAGAGAATTTGCCAATTCCGAAAGCGGCGTGGCGTTCCACCGCTTCGTGGTCTGCTGTAGAGTTGGCCCTCCACGGCATCCCGCTGTATGACATATTGAACATGATCACGTATCAAGGAAAACAGTTTGCTCACACAAAGTCATCGTTCTTGAAAGCTATCTCTCCGTTGATTCTCATGCTGCGGAATACTGGTCGACGTAGAGGGTTGATGATGTGGTATATGTAGCGCAGGGACATAAGTGCTTACCCTTGACGGCGGCGGCATGCGCCTTCACTGAGACGAGCAGAAGTCCATTAGCTGGGTCAAAATGTATAACTGTGCCTTCAGCAACGCACATAGATTATACGCGCAGTGGTATGGTGCGGTAGTCTTATTGATACCCGGCGAAAATGCTATATCTAGAAAAAGACAGTTAATACGAAGCATACGAGGATCATTGTCGAGGTCTGACCAAATGGATACGAGGCAATTTGCCCACAATAGACGCTGGGCTCGTTGAAGGTATACCTAATTATACACGTCGCTGGCGGTCTTGCTATGGGGATTATCGAGACCATACCAAGTCTTTACTCGCCCATTGAATGCACGGAAAACGGTGGTCGCGTAACTGTACGGTTGCACTACGTGAGACAGAGGCAGAATAATAATGGGTTTAGCTACCGCACTGTACGAAGTCATCAACAATCTTCGGGGAAGTGAAGCCCCCATAGTACGCCACTAAAGCTAGCGGTGTATCCCAGTGAACTGCACACACGGAGTCACGAGGTCAGCAAGAAGGGAAGGCGGGTCATCATTGTTCACAACTAACAGAGGGTGACCACGGGCTCAACTCCGGACGCGAGGTGATAGTCAATCACTTTCAAAGGAGAGGTCATTTTCGCCGAGAACACCTAAAATTGACTCAACATACCATCGGAGTAGTGCTTTAGTGCAACATCGTTCAGAGGCGAACCAGCCGTCCCGAAAGGAAATATACGGGCCCAAGAGAGTCTAGTGGTTAAGGTCAATGAAGCGTTAACCGGACTTTGGGTATCTGAGAGACATACGAGAAGGAATGGGCATTGACACCGAGTGCTGCGATACGTGCAACATCCTCTTTGTACATGAAGTAATGAAGATCGACGACATCGGCTGGGACCGATGAGCATTGGAGTTAGCACGCAACTGCCCAACGTACCGTTGGAACCGTCTGACACGGCGCCTGGCTGCCTACTAGCCCAGTCCCACATTGAGGGTCCTTTCCCATCGCTTTTGGCTGCTCCTTCAACCTGGTAAGAAGCCGTTGCCACCCCAAATTTGAACCCTTTTGGAAGTTTTAAATCTGGAAAGATCTTGCTCGGCCTTGGAGCGAACCATTCAGGATAAAGACCAGGTGGGTTGGAAGGGAGTACGACTGGGGTTTTTGGGACTGGGGTGGTAGTAAAGGGTGGGTCTTCGACTGAACCGACCTAAAGTACCAGTGAATCCAACGAATTACCCTGCTTCTGAGGGAAGGACGCTTACTATATTCCAGAGCTCTTGCAACCCCCTGGGAGAGAAATCGTGAGGGATGGATCCCACTGGCGGGAAGATGGCGCCTGTCTGAGGGATGACGGTAGGGATAGCGCTGTGGATGGTTGTCGTCAGAGGCGTGTCTTGAACGGAACCAGTCGCAATTCCAATCTGGGTGCGGGAAGGCTGGGATTCTTGTTGCGCCAGTACGGCTATCGCAGGTGCAAATAAGACAATCGCGATGCTAAAGCGGTAGTTCATTTCCTCGCGAGTTGCTAGTCGGTTGGCCTCTGGGCCATTCCGATCTTCAGTCCCATCGTTTAAGTACCCCAGATTCAGGTGTCATCAACGATGGATTCCGGAGAGTTCTCCCGTGTCTTCTTGCTGACAGCCTTGGTCACAACATTGTATCACACTGGACTTCGCGTAACAAACGGCCCTTGCACGGACCGCTCAATGACACGGGTTGAAGGGCTTCTACTGAGCACTGCTGGCTTGGACGTGTTATGCTGCCTGGGTAACCTACAAGAGGACTTCTAGATCGTGAATCATAGAGAGACGGTACAGAAGTACTGACCGGTGACCCCTTGCGAAGAATACGCTGGTAGATATTATTTGTGTTCCATTCGATGTCTTTCGAGTACGATCAATTGTTGAAATCGCCACTCGTGCGAGCCTGTGGGAGCTGCCACCAAAGACTACGTTCACACGGTACTATCACGTGACGACGCCTCTTGGCTTCTTACCTCTATCACCTAATTTAGCGCCCACCCTCGCAACATTCCACCCTCTCAAGCAGCTCCTCCCCCCCTCGCCCATGGGGCTCCCCAGGCCCAGCCAATTAACGGATCACAATGCATCGAGCCCTGGGTGCAGCTCCCACCTCGAACCCCACCGCCCCGACCCCCGAGTGCCTATGGATCAGAGTTTGGAGACCCCGCATCGGTCCCAAACCTCGATGAGTTCTACGTGCCATTAACTGGCCATGCCGACGCGACGCCGACTAGGAAACGAGCCAGAGTTGAGGCGAGCGCTGCCCCTCTGTCCCTCAACCCACCCAACGTCTCTGCAGCGATCCGGCAAGGAGGCGGTACCAAACATATATCGTGCGCAGAATGGCGCCGAATCTGCGTACAAGTTTTGGAAGATATCGTTGAAGGCGCTAGGAAAATGCTGGGATGGTCTGACGAAGCAGAGGCCATGCATGAGATTCTCAACGTAGCGAAAGTAATGAAGACGGCCCTAAGCGAGCTCGATGGCTCAGTGTCAGTCGACAACGACATTTTCATGTCCCAACCTGCTATGCCCAGCCCCCCTCACGGTAGCTCTCTTGACGCCTTCAAGCTGGAGGTCAAAGATCTGTTCCGCAATCTGGAGGCCAACATCTCCGCCAGGATCTCAAACGTGGAGAGACACCTGTCATCTGGCTCAGCATCTTCCCAGCCTACCCCGCCTGCTCATAATGGCTCTAACACACGGCAGCAACCTTCCGCCCCAACAACGTACGCTGCGGCAGCGAAAGTCGGCCCCCCTGGACAGCCCAAACCAGCTCAACAGTCAAAGGCCACATCAACTCCGCCTGCTGCCAAACCTAACACCAAGTTCATTGTTTGCTTCCAAGGACGCCTACCCCCCGAGGTCGACCGCAAATCCTCTCAGTTCCTGTTCCACCACCTCAATCAAGTCTTTAATAATAACGCCGCTGCCCGCAACGATGGCCTGGAGATACTGGGCGCCGAATGGAATCGCAGCGGCAATATAGTACTAACCTTCCCATCCCATGTTAATCCCTCCGTTGTTTATAATCATACTGACTTGATTCATTCAATAGTTGACCACAACCTTAATGATGTTATAATATCCCACGACACTAAATGGTCCAAGGCGGTCTGTTCGAGAGTCCCCTCGATGGGATTTGACGGCCACTATTGGGACTCCAAAGCCCTCGGCGTGCTGCTTCGACGCAACCCCGTCATCAAGAACCTCAAGATAACACAAGAGCCCCGTTTTGTATCCAACCCTGCGGATGGACTACCCCCGGTCGCGCCTGTGGTGTTCGCCTTTGAAGACCCAGATGGATCAAAACTCAAGGAGCTGCTTAAAACCCCGATTTTCATGGACGGCCGCCACACCCCAGTACACCCGTGGAGGGAGAAGCCGAAGCTGACCCAATGCGACAGATGTCAAGGTCTGGGGCATACCGCGAAGTTGTGTAACAAGCCGAACGTCTGCGCCAAGTGTGCTCAGAGGCACCCCACGACAGAGCACAATGTTTACTGCCCGTCAGTCCTCAAGGACGGATCCAGCACCTGCAAGTGCACGCCCCGGTGCGCAAACTGTGAAGGAGATCATTGGGCTACAGAGCCCAGTTGCCCGGAAAAACGCAAATATGTTCCCAGACCAGCGCCGCCTCCGCCTCCTCAAGCATCTCAGGCACGGCAGCAGCAGCTCCAAATGCCAGCACGGCCTGCTCCACCCCCACCCATGCAAGTTGATAAATGAACGGAGCTGACTCTCTGAAGATCGTGCAACTTAACGTCGCTCGTTCCTCGATGCGCATTCATACTATACTTAATTATCTAACTGATGTACATATTCTTATGTTGCAGGAACCATGGTTTGGCCGCATAGGGCTCGACAAGGCAGATTCCACGCCCGAAGGGCGTCCCATTAACGGCCTCCCTGCATCGCCAGCATGGGAATCATTTGCCCCGTTTTCCCCTGGACGACCCAAAGTTGCTACATATGTATGGCGCAACGTTCCTGGGCTCACTGCCACACCCCGGCCAGACATCGCTAAGCACCCTAATATCTTACCTGTAGAGTTTACTTACGGAGACTTCTCTTTCCTAACAGTCAATGTATATAACGAAGGCAACGGGGCCAAGGCAGAGGTGATAACTATGTTGTCCCTCCTTCCTCTCAATCCCCTCGTACCTACTGTTGTCGCTGGGGACTTCAATCTGCACCACAATGAGTGGTCGCTCTCCCTGGTCCCCAATCAATTATCAGCTGAAGATTTGCTAGAGTGGGCGACTGACAACTTGTTTATGCTAGCTAACCCCAGAGGAGTTCGCACAAGAGTCGGGACCAGCGGGCAGCAAGACTCCATCATAGACCTCACCTTCTTCAACTGTTCAGCCATTAACGCTGCCGCCTTCACCCCTCCGATAGTAGATGAAAACTTATCCTTCGGTTCAGATCACAATGCCCTGGTTTACGCTGTCAACCTCCCGGTCGTCGAAGACGAAGGTGCCTCTGATAACTTTGGTAAACGCCTCGATCCCGGAAAACGAGAAGAATGGGAAGCCGAATTCTCTACACGATATCAGGCCATAGCAGATAGCTTCAATGATCCCGCCTCCGCACAAGAGCTAGATCTTGTTGTCCAGTGGCTGACAGATTGCTTCACTCAGGCCACCAATGCATGCATGCCAGACCGCAAGCCGAATTCACCCAAGAGTGCGCGATGGTGGAACGATGAGTGCCAAAATGCCGTAGAGGAAATGCGAAGAGCATCCCGCGAAGATAAACCAAAACTTCTCCACCGCATGCACCGAATCACCAAGAAAGCCAAACAAGGCTGGGCTAATTCAGTCCTTGAGTCTGCTACCCCCGACAATGTCTGGCGGATTGCAGACTGGTCGGCGGGAAAGCGTAAGTCTCGAATCCCACCCCTTGTCACTGACAATGGAGTTGCAGTATCCTCAGCTGAACTTGGTGAAGCCCTCAAAACTGCTTTCTTCCCTTCGGCCCCTCCGCAAGTCGCAATACAACAGCCTGATGATCCTCTGCCCAGGCATACTCAGGTGTTTGCACCTATCACCATAGACGAGGTGAGTGAAGCTTTGAATGGGACATCTAACGTTTCAGCCCCAGGACCGTCTGAAATCAACTACCGGCTAGTTAAGTGGGGATTCGGGGTGTGTGGCTCACTTCTTACTCGCATCTTCAATGCATGCCTTTGCCTAGGCCACCATCCTAAACCGTGGAGGGCTACCACCGTGGCCATCGTTCCAAAACCCGGGAAAACAGATATGTCCAACCCGCGGTCATACCGACCCATCTCCCTGCTGGAGTGCCTCTCCAAACTGCTAGAGAAGGTCATAGCACGAAGGATTCTATTCGACGTAGGTAAACATCAATTAATCCACACTAATCAATTTGGGTGCCGCGACAAGTCATTGACGACAGACGCAGGCGTTACCCTCATGCACGACATTCAATCTGGATGGAAGAAGGGACTAGTTGCCACCACACTCGCCTTCGACATTAAAGGATTCTTCGACCATGTCCATCTTGATCGCCTAGTAGAGGTGCTTCGCCTAGCCGGCTTTCCGCAAGAAATCCGAGCTTGGGTTCGTAGCTTTGTCTCCAGCCATCAAGTATCCATACGTGTCAACGGTACAAATACAGAACCGTCGACCTGCTCCATCGGAATACCTCAAGGATCCCCCCTCTCGCCCATTCTTGCTGCGCTCTATACTGCACCAGTCATCGAAATCTCGATAAGCAAAAATCGGTCTACACTTTACTTCTACGTTGACGATGGCATGCTTGTGGCCTTCTCCAAGTCAATCCCGCAGAACATCTGACAGCTCCAGGAAGACTTTCAGGTCATTAACTCAGCCCTGCAAGCCATAGGGCTCTCAGTTGACCACACGAAGTTCGAAGTGATGCACTTCACCAGAGCTAAGTCTCCAGAGCTGCTTCCAATCCGAATCGTCCTAAGCCCAGATAATGTGCTAACCATCTCTCCCAACCCAGTAATGAGATGGCTAGGCTTTTTCTTAGACCGCAAACTAGAGTTCAAAGAACATGTCCGCATAATGTGCAATCGTGCCATGTCCAAAATCCAAGCGTTGACAGTGCTGGGCAACTCGGTCCGCGGAATGAACCATGCCAACCGCCGCCTGGCCTACAAGACCATTGTCCTCCCGGTACTAACCTATGGGGCGGCACTTTGGTATACAGGTGTTCGCCAGAAAGGCTTGACAAAGCAAATGGCCAAGATTCAGAACGCAGGCCTTAGACTCATTTTGGGAACCTTTCGCACGTCGCCAACCGCTGCCCTCCACCACATTGGATCAATCCTCCCCATTCCACTACTACTTGAACGCACACTCGATAACATGGCTATTCGCTTGCGAACACTTCCACGGCACGCACAGCCCATCGTGCGCCTGGCAGAGCCCTGGAACCGCGGCCCAGTCCAGGGACCTACCCATTCAAAGAGCAGGACAAAAAAGCTCACAAACCTCCAGCAACTCGCAACCCGAGCACATTTTACACTTGACATCGATGAACGCACCAATCCATATGCCACACCTCCTTGGCAGCTAGGGAACATATGGGGCTGTAGGCTGACTTTCTCGAGCTACGCCCCACGGGATAAAGATGTCCGCAAACAGCTGATCCGCAACATCCGTGAATGCGAAAGCAAGGCAACAATAGATCCAACGGTGATCAACATCTTCACAGACGGCTCTAGGCATTTGGTAGGTGACGAATTCAAAACTGGAGCTGCCTTTACTGCTTTCTACCTAGGCAAGGAGGTTAGCAAGGGCCTGCTAGGCCTAGGTGCTTGCTCCGACAATTTTGATGGTGAAATGTTTGCCCTAGCGCACGCATCCAGGCACCTCCACCAAATCCTGCAAGACCGACCACAAGTACAACGTGTCCGTTTTTTCGCTGACAATACTTCGGCCATTTCGGTAGTCTACGATACCAGCCCTCACCCCTCGCAAGATGCTTCAGTAATTTTCCGGCGCAGCATAGACAAGCTGCTATCCGACCAGCAGGATGTCACCATTGATGTATCGTGGTCGCCAGGCCACTCAGGAATACGAGGCAACGAACGAGCGGACCAACTAGCCAAACAAGCCGCTACCCAAAGGTCTTTCATTGGAACTACTGTTGCTTGGGCAAAAGCACGCACCAAGGCAACTGCGCTCGAACATTGGGTACAGGAATGGAAAGAACTCCCGAAAAACTCGCCCTCGTCTTTGTCCCTCACACGGCCACCATCAACTCGGTTAGACAAGTTCCATCGGACGTTTACAGGAAACCGACGCACCTACTCGCACACCGTTCAGGCCCTGCTGGGTCACGCATTCACTGGGGAATATTTCGCCAGATTCGTTCCACGGCTGCACGCAGCCTGTCCATGTGATGACTCTTTGCTTCAAACTAGAGCTCACATCCTGGTAGACTGCCCGCTGCACGAACATGCAAGAGACGCTCTACGCGAAGCGTCGTCAAATCTTTCAGTAGATTTTTTATTGGGAACTCAAAAGGGAATAATGGCGGTGGCCAAGTTCATCAGCCGGTCGACTGCCTTTCGTCCACCCGACTCAAATAACAGCTGAGCCCAACCTTTCTCTCTGCTCTCCCCTTACTTCCCTGGTTCCTATACCTTATAATTCTTATAATTCTACAGCCTCGAGCAGCATAACATTTATCTGACACACCCTTCTCATAGATGAATCTCCCCGAACGCCCCCGGGAACTACTCCTAGTACGGCCCCACTCACAAATGGCCCCAAGCCTCGTCACAAACGGGTACGGCAGGTAGCTTTTTCCCAACGGCCTTTTCCCACAGGGTTTTGCCAATGGGTTTTTTAACGCACCCTCGCCGCCAACGCCTGGTTTGGGCTCTGGCTCCCAGGCAGGGATAGTAGCTACACGTACGTACCTACCCCCCCACCGCGTCTTAGTAGCAGTAGCATACTTGTTGCGGTATATAAATGCAGACATAAAAAAAAAAAAAAAAAAAAAAAAAAGGTACTATCACGTGACTGCGAAGGGACATACTTCTTTAGGGACTGAAGTTAACCGTCAATCAAAATTGCAGCTTCCACCACAAAACTCTCAATGTATGGCTTTTGCGTGGCGTTCACGCAAGCATCGCCTTGATTTCTTGCTGCAAAGCCAGGGCGATGATGATCAGGACGGCATCGTGCTAGACCGGTTGCTACACGGTCAGAGCATCATTGGCAAGACAGGTAACGCGCACAAGTTCTCGTTTGACGCGTTATCTCAGAAGTGTAGCTAGGACGGCAGAGATTGACTCCATTCGCTTTCAAGATAAAGATCTCAATGTTGTAGGAACTCTGGATCGGGGGCAGTTTGGTGTGGTGAGCACTTATTTCCGATATTGTTTCATTCGCTGAGGTGACTAGATCGATGTAGTGAAATGTGTGCTTGATGACCGCGTGTACATCCGGAAGTCTACGGAAAAGCAACTAGCTCTGCGAGCCCGCGGCGTAGGTCGTCATGATCGGAACCATGCACGTACTGACCATTTGAACCAGCAATGCTCACCGCAATATGAACGCGATATTCTCCTGCGCGCGAGACAATCCCAATCTGAATGGGTCCCCCATCTTCTCTGCGCCTTCCAAACACCCACCCACCTGAATCTCCTCATGGATTACGCCGAAGGCGGTTCGTTGTGGGATGTCCTCGAATCCCACCCCGAGGGAAGGATACCCGAGGACGACATGTCCTGGTGGGTGCCGCAGATAGTCAGCGCCATAGGCTGGTGCCATGAGCAAGGCTACGCACATAGGGATATCAAGCCACATAATTTCGTGCTTACGAACAGTGCGCGCGTGCTGCTCATTGATTTTGGCTCGGCAGCCCCGCTGCTCCCCCCTCGACCTGATGGCTCGAGGGCGCTGCCGAAGCGAGCGTGTATGGCGCCTTGCGGTACCTGCGACTACATTTCCCCTGAGATCCTCAGGTTTCACGAAGATGCGCTGGTAGCATTGGAGATGGACGGCGAGGATATCATCAACAAGTCTTTGGATGAGGAAGGGTATGGCCTAGAAACAGACTGGTGGAGTTTGGGTGCAATGTTGTATGAGTTGGTCTATGGAGTAGCCCCCTTTTTTGCGGAAGATATTCGCCAGACCTATGCACGCATACTGGCCCACGATGTAGGTATTTTCCACGACCTTTCCTAGACGTCGACATGACCCTTGGTCATAGACATGTCTTCGCTTCGATAAAAACATCAAGATCAACGAACCACTTCGCGACTTGCTGTCGAGGTAAGCTCCGTCGACATGTATGATGCGGAAAACGTAACAGTTTGAACAGATTACTTACTGATGCTGACCACCGGATGGGAAGACGAGGAGTAGGAGAAATCCTCAACCACCCTTATTTTGAGGACGTCCCTTTGGACTCGCTAACGACTCGTAATTGGTTTCTATCTGTCTTTATCGAATTTCTCAACGCATGGATTTCGCAGGACCTCTCCCAGACACCCTCCATATCCCTCGATTCATCTACGCCGAAGGATCAGCAGCGGACCCCGAGCCGTCCGGAGACGAGTCTCGGTCCCAAGGATTCGCGTTTTCGATTTTCTTTCAGTCATCGTCACCAATGTCCGAACGGCCTGAGGCCGCAAACGAGACCACGAGCTCTTTGAGCCGATCGACATCCTCCAACGGCAGTTCGTCTTCTTTCATCGGCTTCTCGTGGGGTCCCACTATCGACGCCTTCCCGGATACGCCTCCCACACCGACAGAACCGCCCATACCCCCCATTCATCCGGGGTTGGTCACACCGCGCCCTACATTATCTGCTTTGGATACGGGACGTGCTGGTCTCAGTGCACGACAGCCTCAATCCTCCGCCAGCAGGCTTCTCACCCCCGGAATCCCTTCAATCCCGTACACGACCCCCGTGCGCCTTAACGGCATACTGCCATACGCCACGCTCCCCCGGGGCAGCACGATCCGCCGCAGCGCAACAGTCCGGCGCGCGGTATCGGACCGCGAGGCAATGAAGCAGCTCGTCGACTGCATCGGCATGAGCGCGCGCAAGAAGGTCCTCGAAAGCGGCAAAAAGCCACGCATCCTCCCGCCTTTCAAATCGCTCAACCACTCCGGGACGCTGAAAGAGCTGCGGTTCTTCCCCGCGCCGATCGTCGTCCCCGCCTACGGCGATACGTCCTCGCCCATGTACAGACGACAAGCGGTCGCCGTGCTTGGTTCGGACGACGGCACCGCGACCGAAATCGAATCAGAAGGCCCGCCGAGTCCGAGCCCCAGCCCGCGCCCCGGGTCGGCAATGTCGTTTATGTCGAAAAGGAGCGGGACGCCGACGATTACGACGACGTTCTCGCAGCGCATGTCTGGGAGCTCGTTCCTTTCGATCCCGCGGCCGTCATCGGGGAGACCGCGCTCGACTTCTACGGGGTCTCTTCCGGCGCCGTACAACGAACCGTACAACGAACCGTCCTTGTCGTTGGACGAGGACAATCTCGCGGACGTCGCGGCGCGATACGCGTCGTTGATGGCAGACCTTGAGGCGATCGAGGAGAAGCTGCGATACGTTGCTGTGATGTCCACCTAAACCACTTGAACACCCAGATACTGTACCCACAATCCAGCCGAGTTAGTTTTGGAGTTTCAACATGAAGCTATCCCTGTGGCCTCATCCCTCGCTACCCAACCTTGGAGCATCAGCTTCAAGAATCAAGATCAAGCTTCGGGCCACTTGCCTTGCCCGCTCCAACGAGTATCTATTAACAGACTTCGCATCTTACATACTTGGAGAATAAATGCTTGCTCAGCATTATGCATAGCCTGCCGTGCCTAAGCTCACCTTATATCGCCAACAACCACTAACCGGGATGCCTATCACTCTTTGCGACTTGTACTGACGGAGATGTTTCGTATGTGTAGGTTGAAATGAAGTCGCACTCTCGAGGTCGCTTTCATGTTCACGCTGACCTCTCTCTCACACGCAGAATCAAAAATAGGTCGTTGACGGGTCACTGGACCGAGCATTATCAATTATCGAACACAAAGTTAGAGACGAAATTTGAATCTACATTTGGACATACAGCACGCAGGACATTACGGCGTATTGCGAGCTCGTTGAGATTTGTCCGCCGTTTCGTGCTTTGGTACTTGCGTTTCAAGCTGGTGGCGGGAAGCCAGCTGCGGTCGCTGGCGTTGCAGGCGAGTGTTCTGTCCTATTGACGTTGAAAGCACTGATGAAAGTTCAAACATAGTGGGTAACGCAGTGTTCGCGCACAACGACTCCAACGTGCGTTCAATCAATCTTCACCCACCAATGTCATGAAAGCTCACACAGTCGGCACGTAATTAGCAATGCCGGCAGGGCAGGGTAGCTTAAAAGCGTTGCAGTAGAATCGCATCACAGCGTGCAATCCATGGATCGCATCCTCACTCTGAACAATGCTCTCGGTATTGCGACCGCCGTGTCCTACTACAAATCAGTGACGCCATCGAATGCCCCAGTCGCGCGCAATGAACTGATGGTTAAGAGCTGGTTCGAGAGGACTATACAGGCTCGCGCAACTTTAGAGAAGGTTAGGTTTTGATGCAACGTTGTCCCGAATATACATTGAACTCTTAGGTCGTAGTGTGTGCCATGTCCGTCATGGAGATTGCGACCACTCTTCATCTGTTTGGAGACCACGGCTCCTGCCTTGCGTCACTCACCCCTCCGACCGGCCATCTACAACGGCTAATCGTCGTAGCCTCTGTGTCTGTATTCGCGGCTTTGCTGCGACTCTGGTGCTTCGGTGACTTCGGCAACCTATGACTCACTGTAACCTGCGAGTCCTTTGCTGCAACACCACTTTCCATATCGCACTGTTAGCCTAATCCACCCAGCGCGAGCTGGAAGATCATCTTTCTCTGATCTACGGGTAAAACCAGTAATGTCAGCGCCAAAGGGGTCCAGTACTATTTGAGTCCTGTAAGATCAATCAGTAAGACACATCAGGCAGTGCCCACATAAATGTGAGGTGGTCGGACACAAAGAACTATTAACGTGAAGCTAATAGTATCATCGTTGAAGGGACCTATTCAACCAATGTGAGTTACAGGAGGTAGTAAGTATTGTAAATAGAACCAAACCCCGGAACATCGCTTAAACAAGCCCTTCCAGCTTTCCATAGTGGAAGGACAGCGACTAGCTAATGAGGCTATTTCTCCTCATTGAACTTACACTCGTTTTTCGTATGCCTTCATCAAGCGTGTAGTCTAGACATACTGAAGTGCTGAAGAAACGCGTACTAATGAATTGAAACCTTGCATGTAAAAGTTATTCCCGACCCCCTCGCCACCGAGACAAGAGGCGTCTTGTGTAAGCTAGAGATTTCCTTCCAACTTGATCCGAATAGTCAAGTTCTGGACGCAAGGCTAACTGAAATCATCCAGTTTACTACTAGCCCGACTCGGACCTGTAGGTGTGCAAGCACTTGTAATCGCTGTTACATTACTCCAGTTGCCCTTAGTAAATTAACCTTAGACCTCCAGGCCTTCAGGACCCGGTGATTAATGATTACCTCGAAGCAACGAAGTTTACCGTTGGCAGGAGGTGACAGGAGGCTGCGGATTCTTTACCACGATAAGGGGCGCAGCGTGATGCAGCGCTTTTGATTGGGTGGTTATTATTGGAGGTGTGTCTCTGATCTTGACTCGTCATGAACTCTGCCGTCTGCCGTCGGAGGAATATGCAGTAACGGATATATATACTCTGCACTCGCGCATATGGCGCGTGTCTATATCGTACGTTATGTTCAACCCTTTCAACCCCCCACCAGCGCCGCCAGCGTTTGGCAAAGGGAAGATACTCCCAGAAAAACAAGCATCGTATGTCTCTTTCGTGACGGATATGTTGCGGAAATTGAACAGCTTTGCAGATGGCCTTCGCGGATTATATTCCACTGGTTAGGCCCATTCTTGGCAGTAGGATATTCGAGGCCAATTCAACCAGACGGTAAGTGCGGTCTGAGATTCAGCCTTTGTATTTCAAGCTGATAGAAATCACTCTTGAAGATCTGTGGGAGCTACCACCGAACAAGAGAACGGCACATCTGACCGAACTCGTACAAAATATATTCTATGCTCGATGCCCCCCAGATAAACGACCGAATTTCTTTCGAGAGGACCATGGTGGAGACCAGGGATCCGGAATAGGCTCGAATGGGGATGCGACCGACGAGGAGAAACCCCACACCAAATCGAAGGCGACGAAAGCACCTAAGTACGACTCGTCACTGTTCAAGTCGTTGCATTCTGCATTCTTTTACCGTTGGTGGATTGCAGGCATTTTTTACCTCGGTGCCGGTAGGCTTTGTCTCCCGGAGCCTCAAAATTGCTGTATTGATCGATCCTGCTTTAGATACATTGAGGACCACGACACCTCTCGTCACAAAGGTCCTGCTAAACTGGCTGACCGAGTCGTATATCTATCATCATCTTCCAGACGAGGTCAAAGCGACGGCGGCGGTTTCTCAGCCTCGGGGCATCGGCTTTGGCATTGGTCTAGCGTTCGCACTGTTCGCCATGCAGCAAATGGCTAGCTTGGTATGTGAATTACTGTCATCTTATTCAAACGGCCGCTTATCGCCGCTGAACTACAGCTAAACAATCATTTCTTTATAAGTAAGTCATGCAGACGCCAGGCTCTATGGAGGGTTGTAGAACTTACTTTCATCTGCAGTCACAATGGTCAATGGTCTATGCGTTCGATCAGCGGTAAGCTGGCAACTTAAGATACGTTGTTACCGGTATTGAGTCGATGCCGAAGCTTATAGGCAACATCTTCCAAAAGTCCCTACGTCTCTCGGGTCGGGCTCGGATATCACACAGTGTTGGTCAGATCACCACGATGATCTCGACAGACGCTACTAGACTTGACCGCTTCTCGATGTATGTTCATGGGTACGTGACAGCTGAATATCCCTACCCAGTAGCGTCACTCATTATCCTCTAACCAGGTTATGGGTGTCCCCGATCCAGATCATATTGGGGATTGGATTGCTTCTTGGAAACGTGAGCTAGCTATTGCCTGGAGCGGCGGAATTCTAGTTGACGTTACTTGTGGCTCTTCAGTTGGGGTACTCGGCCTTGGTAGGACTGGGAGTCTTGATTCTGGGCCTCCCTATCCAAACGGTGCTGGTGATGATTATGTTTAAGCAACGCAAAAAGGGTGTCAAATTCACTGACACCCGGCTGAGGCTGACCACAGAGGTACGCAGCTGTTTGCAGCCGGGGCACCACATCTAATCGCCAGAGTCCAGGTCTTGCAAGGCGTCCGCTTACTGAAGGCGTATGGATGGGAAAAGTTTTATATCCATCAGCTTGAGCTATTGCGTAAGAAAGAGATCCAAGCATTGAAGAAAACGGCGTAAGCGCGAGGCTCCTTTCTCCAACCTTGAACTCAGATGTTCACCGAAATTCAGTACAGCACGAGCGGGTATAATCGCCTTGATGTCCTTTGTTCCTGTCCTCGCCGCCGTCCTTTCCTTTGTAAGCATCGCCGCCGTCTTGCCTACCCAGCATCTCACACTGTATACGCGCCCGACCCCTCCAGATTACTTACTCTCTGAGCGGTCATGAGCTTAATATTGCCATCATTTTCAGTTCGCTGCAACTCTTCAACGTGAGCAAATTACCGACTCTCCATCGCGAATGTCGAATGGTTAACCGTGAGCGTAGGTCATTAGGATGCCACTTGCGACACTACCGGTTGTTTTTTCATTTCTGACCGATGCTCTCGTTGCGTTGGGTCGCATCTCAAGCTTCCTCCTCGCTGAAGAGCTACCGGAACCCTACCCAATCAACTATAACAACAAGAGGGCTATCACCGTGGACGCGGATTTTGCTTGGGAAACAGCGGCCAAACTCGAAGACAAGTTCAATGTGCATTCCAAGAAGCACAAACACACGAAGGCGGCGAAGGATGAGAAGAGCATCCTGCCCACCAAGGCTGCCGAAGCGGAGGGAAGTGTGGAGTCACATGAGGCGAAAGAACAGCCGTTTGTATTGAAGAATCTGTCGTTGGAGATAGACAGAGGCTCGTTCGTGGCGATTGTCGGCCGGGTTGGATCGGGCAAGGTAATCCTGCACACTTCCTGGCTAGCCGCTGAGACACTGATGTGTCGCGAAGAGTTCTTTGTTACAAGCGCTCATAGGCGAGATGCGGAAGACAAGAGGAGAGGTACGTGACTGACTTCATCAATTCTTTGTTGTGCCATTCAATGAGAATCCCGTATAAAGGTTAACTTCGGAGGCTCCGTGTCATACGTACCTCAAAGAGCTTGGATTCAAAACGCTACCCTTCGCGAAAATATCCTCTTCGGACACGCCATGGATGAATCCAGGTTTGCTATGTATGTTGGGCTTTTTTCATGTCGCTAAATATCCCACAGGTTCCGACAAGTCATCAAGGCCTGCAGCCTCGAGCATGACATCGCGATGCTTCCGCAAGGAGAGGAAACGGAGATAGGGGAGAAGGGTATCAATCTGAGTGGTAAGTAAACACTACCTCTCCAGTGAATATTCTGAAGCTTATTCCAACAGGCGGACAGAAGGTAAATATCTCACATTATCCGTAGATGTGGACGAAGGACTAACACTTGTGATACATCACAGGCCCGAGTCTCCCTGGCACGCGCTGCTTACTCCGATACCGATATTGTTCTCTTAGATGATCCGCTCTCTGCTGTCGACGCTTATGTAGGGAAGGATATTCTCGATAACTGCCTGCTGCGTGGCCCGTTGGCAGATCGTACTCGAGTGCTTGTGACACACGCTCTTCACGTTCTTGACAAGGTCGATTATATCTATGTCGTAAACGACGGCGTACTTGTCGAGCAAGGAACATACGAAGTACGCTCTCAAATCATTTCGCATGAATTTTAGTATTCACTGCCTGTGACTTTCATTAGGCTCTGATGAAGGATAGTGTCTCCTTCGGCCGACTGATTGAAGAATTCGGTTCAATGGAAGAAGACAAAGAGGATGAGCAGCCTCGTCGGGAAACGCCAGAATTTAACCTCAGGGTGCAGAAAGGAGCAGCGGCCGGTGAGATGAAGAACGCAGCTCTCATGCAGACCGAAGAGAGGAATGTTGGCGCTGTGACTTGGGACACCTATGCTAAGTACCTTCGGTTTGGCGGCGGAATATTCTGGGCCCCATTTTTATTGTCCCTCCTCGTGCTGAATCAAGCTGCCGCTGGTAAGCTTTTGACCATTGTCCTTTTTCCTAACTAAAGCGTCTGTGAAGTCGGGAATAATCTGTTCTTGGGATTTTGGACAAGTCAAACTATTCCTGGATTCACTCAGGGGTCATATATGGGAGTTTATGCCAGCCTCGGTGTCGCTAATGCATTGTTTTCGTTCTTGCTGGGGATGTCGTTCTCGTGAGTAGAGCTGACTGAATCTTCTACATGACAAGTGTTGATTACCCCTAACTGCCCCTAGCTTCGCTGCGTTGATTGCTGGCTTCAATCTGTTCAGAGCTGCTTTGAAAGCTGTTTTGCATTCGCCAACGTCTTTCTTTGATACGACGCCGATGGGTACGGACGCAAGCTATTTTACTTCTATTTGCACATTCACCCTGTCGTAGGACGTATTCTTTCTCGGTTGTCAAAGGATCAGGACACTTTAGACACGGAACTGTCCATAACTCTCTATCAGGTAAATGAACCGTCTTACTCAACTTCCACCGGTCCTCACCACATACTCTAGTTCCTGAACACATTCAGCTCTATCCTCGGCACAGCTGGCTTGGTGTTCTACACATTCCCGTACCTTGGGATCATGTTTGCGCCAATGGCGGTACTGTATTATGGGATATCGGTCTATTATAGGCGAACTTCTGTCGAGACGAAACGACTAGACTCGTTAATGCGATCTGCATTATACTCATCGTACTCAGGTCAGTTATCACCAGATGCTTGAAAATTCAGGAATGCTGAACACTACACACATAGAAACATTAACTGGCCTGTCGACAATACGAGCCTACCGAACCCAGGTACGCCTCCTTTGTGAGAACCTAGATGCCTCCCCTCATCACCTATAGGACACTGCGGTGACGCATGCTCATGAAGGACTTGATATGGAGAATCGGGCATATTATATGACCGTTTCCATACAACGATGGCTTGCCCTCCGGCTCGATGTCTTCGGTAACGTACTGGTCTTCGGCATTGCTCTTTTTGCCGCTGGCTTCCGCGAAACCGTGAACCCGGCCAGGATTGGCGTCGTGCTCACATACACGTTAAGCAGTGAGTACCTGAGATATCTTCAAGTGTAAGTCCTGCTAACGTATCTGCACAGTAACCCAGGTGTTCTGTCAGTAGCTCCTCCCATCCTGCTATGTAACTCGATATACTGACGCTTAGTTATGAAGCTGAAATGGTGAATCAATTCGCACAAAATGAGCAAAACATGAATGCCGTCGAGCGGATACTAGTGTATACCGAGTTACCTCCTGAAGGAGACCTCACGACACCAAACGACCCTCCAGAGTCATGGCCTGAAAAAGGAGAGATCGAGTTCTCTAATGTCGAGTTCGCATACAGAGAAGGGTTGCCTCTTGTCTTGAAAGATATCAGTTTCAAGGTTAGGGCTGGGGAGAAGGTGGGGTCTCGCTCCATGTAATCGCTGTTTGCAACTGATATTGGCCATCTAGATTGGTATTGTCGGCCGGACAGGGTCAGGTGCGAATCTTTCGTGAACAACGTCTAGAGCTCGGCGCTGATCGTTTTCGTAGGCAAGAGTTCATTACTTCAGGCGCTCTTCAGGTACTCCCATCTCAGCCTCAACATGTTGAGTACGCCTGATTTTCTTAAAGGACGGTCGAACTCCGGGGTGGAAAAATAGAGATCGACGGACAAAACATTGGCACCATAGGCCTTAGCGTGCTTCGCCGGAAGCTTGCACTTGTGCCCCAAGACAGCACCTTGTTTCTGGGGACGCTGAGAGAGAATCTGTGCGTCCTTCTGCCCCCTTGTTGTACTGCAGTAGCTCAGACCAACTCCCAGAGATCCTGAAGCGTCCCGGACGGATGCAGAGCTGATATCTGTTCTTCAAAGGGCGTGGTTACTCCCCCGAGATGGCCGCAGCGACCCCAACGCCGAAGCAAAGTTTAGCCTCGAATCGACTATTGGTGACGAAGGTCGGTCACTGCGACAGTTGGCTGGGTGTTGATAACGACCCAGATTCTACATAGGTTCCAATTATAGTGTTGGAGAACGCCAACTCCTAGCACTATGTCGTGCACTCGTAAAGAACAGCAAAATCATTGTCCTGGTACGTAACGAACAAATCTAGAGAAAATGTCCCCTGATTATTCCTCCGTCCTCTATAGGATGAAGCAACCAGCAGCGTGGATGTGGAGACAGATGCCAAGCTGCAGCAGACGATCCAAACTGAATTCGGGACTTCTACCCTGTTGTGCATCGCCCATCGATTGAATACCATCGGTGAGAGCTTCCGCCAACATAATATTTTGGATTCTAACAAGCTTGGTAGCTTACTACGACCGAGTACTCGTCATGGATAATGGGAAGGTGGCTGAATTCGATACAGTCCTCAACCTATTCGATAAGGAGGACTCCATCTTTCGGTCGCTTTGCAATGAAGCCTCGCTCTCTCGTCAAGATATCGTTCGTATCAGATCAGACTCCGGTTTTTCTAGTAACTAGCATTTGAACACTTGCACATAGAGTAGAGTTCTTTAGTTCATCATCTCGATTTCCTTCGTGTAATACAGCAATAGAGCTGGATACTTATTATAATTCGTTATCACGGGATGTATTATATGAGAGTCGTCGGAGGACCGTTGGTTGGCTCATCTATCCCCGATATTGCTAGAGTCCAAAGGCCCGGTGTCCTTCACCCGGAGGGCGACGTTCGCCGTAGGAAATAATAAATGGAAAGGCTACGACTTGCTGGATAAAATCAGGAAACTTATGTTGAAATAAGCTGGTGAGGTCGCGCGAATTCCGAGTGAGCAAGCAGCTATGTATTGCGTTTGGCTGGGACTCCAGCAAACGCATAAAGAAAATGATACATGAGCGCGACACTAATTACAGTAGTCACGTGCATCCCCTATACCCCTGTACCGCCAAGATTGCTGAAATCCAACAACAATTGGGCAGAAACACCTTGTACATGTGTTAGTATAGAATTTCAATCAAATTTCACGACAAGGCAGTCCAATGAGCAGTGAGGAGAGAACCAGTCGATTTTAGCATTGTTTTAGCATTCTGATGATGACGAGCGCTAAATTGATCGCCACTGCCGCGGCGCCCCAGTTGCCAAGTAACACTTTCTTGAATCGCAACTCTCACATCGTGTAGGAAATAATACACAACAAGGATCCGTTATGTTTCGATCTGCCGCAACCAAGCTTGCGCATAACTCAACGATACCTGCACTTGCAGGGAACAAAGAGCTCAGGCCGTTGCAAGACCTCATTACTGCGGAAAAGGGATGCATGGTCTCGTATGTCGTTGACATATACCTGGCACATGGCAATTAACTTGACGCTCGTATCCAGATTGCAGAACTTAAGCGGCGAGTTCGGGAAGGCCGCTGAAGCGCTGCGCGTCTGGGGGGCAGGCGAGGGCGACGATCTCGGAGTGAGTCAATCCCATATTCATCCGCGGTACCAGTAGGCTCACAAGTACGACGTACAGGACACATTGACGTCGTGTACAACGCTCCTCATCGCTGTGTCTAATTCCATCGCTACATACGCTTCGGCCCACAATGTTATTCGGGCGTCCATGAAATCAATACGGTCTGCTGAAGAGACCCTTGACGAATTGAAGCGACGCCGTAGAGCCCTATATGTTAAAGCGGAATCTGCGGAGCGAAAGCTCAGTAAGATGAGCCCGGAGAACAAGAGCCTGCAAGTACAAACGGACCTTCTGAATCGCCTGCGGGGGGAGATCAGAGTGGTCGAGGGAGAGATCTTGGAAGGAGAGAGCCGACTCGGGGATGATAAGCGTCGCTCGGTAAGGATGTGGATGGGAGTCAAGTGGACTGGATTGGGTGAGCTCTGTGAGAAAGGGCTGGTGCGTAGTTCTACCCCATTGTCTTCTTCTCGCCTTATTGGCGCATCAGATCGCAGCTGAGTACGGGAGGTCCATCATCGCGGTGAGTATACAGTGAAGGGTCTACCACTCAACTTCATGTCTTCATCTCCTAGGAAATCCCCGAAGCCAGTACACCACCGGGTATGCCTCGCGTAGCTTACTATGGTCACCAAAAGACTCAGACTCTCGTTGCCGACGCTCAGCGTGGTATGGAAGGAGTTGGCGCCCCAGGATCCAACTTCTCGCGTTCATCAGTCACTCGAGACGACGGCCGATCAAGCACTCAACTTCCCCCTTTACCGCCCTTAGGCGACTCGATTTATCCTCAGGATGTCCCTCAAAGTCCTCAGGCTACTCTCAACTCTCTGGATGTTCCCCGGTCTGTTGCAGGGCTTTCGGGCCCAGATACATCGTATTCCCCCGCCGTGGAACATAATTATAATCAGAGCTTCAATTCAAGCTTCGCGCAATACAGCGGGGAGCCGTCATCTCCAATTCATCACCCTACGCCCCATGGTCCTCAGCCTCCTTTTTCTTACCCAATGCCGACACCTCAGGCCAATTACCCGTCGGGACCCCCTCTAGGCTCTTCCAATGCATCTGCATCCAGGTTCGAGTCCAGCATCGAGCCAAGTCTGGGCACTGGTCATTTCATGGATGCCTCTGATTTCAGTGGAATAGGCTCAGGATATTCCATGTCGAACCAGCGCAGTAATAGTGTGGACGACTTCGGTGTCAATTTCAGCGGTCCAACGCAAACTAACGCACCTGGCGGTGGTAGATTTGCTACATTCCCAGTGAAATCGAGGGCTGCTGCTGCTGCCCCTGCTCACGAAGAGCCCCCTTCCGAGGATTCGTCCATGCTCACCGCTTGGGACGCACAGAAAGACCTGTACGGTTCATCTGGCGGGAAGAGAGCGAGCATGGTGTCTGACGTTAGTAGCGTTGGATTAGCGTATGATCGCGGTGACGTACGTGCTACGCCTCCGCCAGAAGGCCAAGGATCAGATAGGCATGTTCGGTTTGGTGCAGTAAGCGATGTAGACGAAGAAATGGTGAAGCGTCACCAGCAACAACAGGAAGAACATGACGAAGCTACTCCAACCCCTCCGGCTCAATCACCGCCAGCTGTATCGACGTCGTTTAGTAACACAAACGCCCCACCAGTACCACCAGCGACGTCCGATCAAAACACACTCAGGTCCCCCGTTGGACCTCCTCCTGCATATCAAGATGACAATCCGTCCCAAGATCGCCTTCCCTCCCCCGCCAGAGACACCCAAGAAGAAGAGAGAGAACTGAACGCTGCAGCAGCCAGAGAAGTCAGTCGCGAATTCGATTCACTCACGTTTAGCCCGCCAGGACGTCAAAGCAACTTTGGTTCGACTGGACGGGATTCCCCCCTTTCCTTCGACCGAGCCAGGGAGGCTGCCAATGCCCCAGCCGATTCCTCGCCGCTCGCCGCCCCACAGCCTGGATTTGCTGGACGAGAACGCTCAGTTTCTCCGATGCCCCAAAGGGCTTCACCGGTGCCCCAACGGCGACCGACACTCGATGTGAATGTCAATGTTCAACAACCGACGCCAATGTCTTCCCCATTTGCGCAAAATCGCGCTTCCCCTGTTGCAGCAACTTCTAGCCCGTTAGCGTCGACGCCTCTCGAAACGGCAGCGCCGCCAGTTTCTGCACTTAGCATTCCAACGCGAGAGACCTCAGATTCGCGCTCAGCCTCACCGCTGTCCAACGCCTATCGGACGCCCCCAGAATACTACAGTCCACGTCTAGGTTCTTCACGTTCGACGTCCGGCTCTGTAAGCAGCGGCAGTGCACTGCCTTCTCCAATTCCGGGCACCAAGACAATCAGTGCCGCTGCATTTCGACGACCGCCCCCAAGAAAACTCAGCGGCGATTTGCTAGGCAGTCCCCCGTTCAGTGGTGGGATCGGCGCGAATACTATGCCGGGTCTCGCAGACACTACTCCGTTGGTACTGAAGAAACGGCTACCAAACGCACCTCAGCCCGACGGGAACATGAACACACCAAGCCCTCCACCCACCAACCGAGACGTTCCCCAGCAACAACAAACATCTCCGCGCCCTCCTACCTCTGGTGGTGCAGAAGAATACGACCAATTTGACTACATTAGCGCTTACGCCAACAATTCTGGCGATGGTGCTGGCAGTCCACGCGCTGACTTTGGGAAGCTGGGCAAAAGCGGCGGACGGGAAGGAGACGCTGTCATGCATCCGCCTCCTGGAGGCTACGACCGAGGAAGATTTGCGACGAATACAGAAGGGGGTGCAGGCCTGAGATGAAAATAGAGATTACGATTTCGACTTCGACGATTTTTTTCGACCTGGACATCAGCACCCCGAAGACTAGCATGGAATAGTTAATTACCTGGACATTTTAGCTTGCTACCCCTCCCTCTTGTTACGACCCAGCCCCATGACTATGCATGCCCCTTCTAGCCACCCCTTGAAGTTAATGTTCGCCCTTTAGGACCTAGGTGGCCCCACGCCATCTCCGTTTCTTCTCGCGAACTCATCGATACGGAAAGCTGACCGAATGTCATTAAGACGGGCTGTGTCCAAGCTGTTAGCCTATAACCATCGAGCTGCCTGGAAAATCCTCCAGAAGTCAATATCTCAAACCCCATAAGCATATGTCTCCTACAGCACTTTCCCAGTACCTCGCCAAGTAACGCGATATTAGTATTCTCCGTCGTTTCTCCTCGCCTGCACGGAAGACAAGAAAACCTTAAGCAAAGTCGTCGCATGAAACCTTCCCGTCCGTTTACTTGGTATGCGTTTCAACCATGGGGATAGATAAGGGAGGTCGCGACAGCCGCCGTCACCCCCGCGTCGACGCCGTGCCTGTGTTGGGATGTTCATTGTCCATTGTTATGTTCAACTTCTGTTCGTGATATTCTGGCAGGTCTATGATTTCGCTAACGATGTCAATGACAACATGTGGCGGTCCACTGTGATCACCGGTGATCATCCTCGGGGACGGGATTTCATGCACGCGACCAAAAAATGGCATTGCACACGACCAAACACTCGGTGGGTGGGTGCGCGTCGTGAAGTGTATCGTCATCGAGGCCTGCTTCATGTTGATTGTCGTGTATTACAGGCCATATTTTCAAGTTACTTGCTGTATCCCATGACCAACCCGACTCCAAACTGGTATAGACGTCGCTGGGCACACCAGGCCCGGGATCAGGTCACCAGGACGTTTTATTTAATTCGAGCCCATACATTTACGTCGTCACTGGCCTGAAATCACGACAAGTAGATCCGCCGGTTAGTTTGCATATTGCATCCCAGGGGGTGCCCCAAGTGCAATGAATCGAACTGGTGAACTGGTGACCACTGATTTCGCATGAACCGTCATATCTGTCAGATGACCCATTTTTCAATATTGGTCTTGTATTCTTCTGATACTGCGGAGGGCAAGGGAAGCAAGAACCAAGGGCAAAGGAGTTGTTGGCACCGCAGCAATACCATCATCATCTACATCGCCGCCCATCAAGAATAGGTCACCAGTGACGGGTGAATGGGGGTGAGAATATGATTGCGAACCGAAGTAGCCAAGTTAAAGGAATTGAATCTATCGGCATGCCGAGTGCAGTTCTGAAGGGTAAAGCTGCTCTAGGTTCTCTGACCTACTCGTACAGGAATCGGCCACCGGGGACTGGGCCTCCGTACAACGCAGCACCGTCAGCGGCGTATAGAATACCTGTGCCACCGGTGTAGTGTAGGTCATAGTGGGGATTCCCCGGACGACAATTGAAACCTGCAATCATATACGTAGCGCCAGGACTTGAATGTTTATCCGCCTTTGCCTACTTCTATGTCTAGTGTCAAAGATAAGAAATACGCATTGGCGAGAAGTTTGAACGATAACATGCCGTTCCTGGCCTGAAGCGAAAGCCCTTCGCTATCAGGCAGCTGGGCCCCCTCTCTCAGGGAAATGGAGCTTGAAGAAGCCACCGACGTACTGCTCGGAGCATCAACCAACTTACCAAACACGAAGTTGACCGAAATTTCGTATTATTGGACTTGATGTGAAGTTTCATCACGATGGAAATCGACGAGGAGACCGTGAGAGACTCTCGAGGCGCTGTAAGGTAATTCGAATTCGAAGTTTATCTCAGATTCAACGTCTGAGTCGTTCGCGCGGCCAAGGTGAGTTCTGTCCTATTCTGCTGTTCTGCGATTGTGACCATACATGAAAAGGTCTTGGTCCCGCATGATTGCCATCACAGACAAGAGCGCAGTGCAACTTCCGTATCTCCATACCAATACACGCATTTGCTTGGGATGGGCCTTAGCCTATGTAGCACATGGTGAACAGAATGGGTGGGTTGGAGATGAACCCTATATCCCATGTGATTGGGCGTAAACGCGTCCATGCAGGGTGCGACCGCTGGCGATCTGGAAGGGACGGAAGATATGGGACCGTGTCGATGCAATGAAATCCGCTGCGCGTTTTTTCCACTGAGACACGGTCGAATAAAGCAAGCGAGGGCAGGACCGAAAAAAAAACAAGTGAAGAATAGGAGGTGGCGGCGACTTACCCAAGTTGTAACATGTTGGATCGTGGCAGGTCAACGGAATATGAATCTGACAACCCCACCTATCATCACTGGTCCGCCTGGAGCCAGCGGCCTTGGAAACCTCAAGCTGTGCGCTTTATCTGGTTCTCGATCGAATTTCACGCGCTCCGCGTGGTTGCCCTTCGAGCCTTAGTGCAGGTTCCTGGATAGACACCGACACGCACTTCCCCAATCATTCATAAATCGAGGTGCTTCGATTGTGACGACCATCCGTCCTCCTTCCACCCAAATTACTCTGATGGCGGAAAAGTCAGAGAAGAAGTTCGACCATGAGGTCGCCAGCACCGGCACCCCCAGCATTGACGGAAGCTCGCCTTTCTATGATCCCTCCAAGGAGTCCATTTGGACCCGCCTTGGTGTGAATTTCGAGAGTTTCAAACGCGCTCCTGGCACCACCGGGTACGTACACCATATTATCTTCGGGACTCAGATTGTCGCTGACCACGGACACTAGTGGACAAGTCATCTCTGGCGATACCAATCTCACCGATGTTGAGAAGCATCTCGCCGATGCACCCATGCTGCAGCAGAAAATGAAGCCCCGCCATATGACCATGATTGCAGTCGGTGAGCTTCGCCCTTGTTCTATCCTCTCGCGGTTTCTAATTCATCAACAAAGGTGGTAGTATTGGTACTGGTCTTTTCGTCGGTTCAGGTTCAGCTCTCAACAGTGGTGGCCCTGCTGGTGTTCTCATCGCTTGGATTCTCATCGGTGTCATGTTGATCAACGTCACACAAGCACTCGGTGAAATGTCTATCTTGTACCCGGTCTCTGGAGGTTTCTACACGCTCGCTGGTCGCTTCCTCGATCCCTCATTCTCCTTCGCTATGGGCTGGAATTATGTCTTCCAGTGGGCCGTTGTATTGCCCTTGGAAATCACTGTCGCTGGTACCACGGTTGGGTATTGGACAGACGACGTTCCTATAGCAGCCTGGATCACAATATTCTGGATTGTCATAAGTGCGTACTCCTTCCTTCCACTTGCCTTTCTCTGGCTAACTCTTAAACAGCTATATTGTGTGTGTTCGGGACTCTGGGCTACGCCGAAGAAGAGTTTTGGTCTTCATGTCTGAAGCTCTTCGTCGTCGTTCTGTTCTGCTTCATCGGCGTGTAAGTGGCGTATCATTCATCAACTCATGTCCATCACTAAAACGTACCCGACCCTCAGTGTGTGTATTTGCGGTGGTGGGCCCTCCGGCGGTCAATACAGCACATACCAAGGTGGACGCCTTTGGAGTAATCCTGGCGCTTTCTCCAACGGTTTCAAGGGTGTTTGCTCTGTGTTTGTCACAGCCGCGTTCTCATTCGGTTAGTCGACCTGTACTTCTGCCTTACCCTGGACGTGCACTGATGGACCTACACTATTCACTAGCCGGAACCGAGTTAGTTGGTCTTGCCGCTAGTGAAACCCCCAACCCCCGTGAGACGATGCCATCCGCTGTCAAGGGCACATTCTGGCGTATTGTGAGTTCCGAGTCACTTACATAGTCGCCGTGCTACCATACTCACTGCATTGTATAGACGATCATCTACATCACCTCCCTCACTATTATTGGTCTCCTCGTTCCCTACACCGAGGATCGTCTAATTGGCGGCAGTGGAGCTTGTAAGTATTTTACCCAGTGGTTAGCCCTAGACTGGTTGTTGACCGCTATCCTTTCCAGCCGCCTCGCCTTTCGTTATTGCTCTCAAGAATGCTGGAATCAACGGCTTAGATCGTGCGTTTTATATGAGCTAACACACTAGTTCGGTACCTCACACTTTCAGCAGACTTGGTGAACGCTACTATCTGTATCTCCGTTCTTTCAATTGGTCTCTCTTGCGTCTACGCTGGGTCCCGTACACTCACCGCGTTGGCTGAGACTGGATACGCCCCAAAGATCTTTACTTATGGTACGTTATCACGAGCACCATTTAAACCTCGTTGCTCATCCTTCTGTGCAGTTGATAAATCCTCGCGACCCCTCTTCTCCGTCATTGCAATCCTTGCGTTCGCCCCCATTGCATATGTCAACGTCGTGGCCGCTGGCGACACCGTCTGTCAGTGATGTGCTTGACCCCGATTGACCCTAGCTAACGAGCCTGTTATCTAGTCACGTGGTTACTCGCCCTTTCAGGTCTCTCCACCCTCTTCACATGGCTGTCCATCTGCCTTTGCCAGTACGTACCCACAGCTGACTTCGTGTCCACGCTGTTCTAACCTTAGTTTCAGCATCCGTTTCCGTAAGGCTTGGAAAGTCCAAGGCCACTCGTTGGAGGAGCTTCCATTCAAGGCTCTTGGCGGTGTCTATGGCTCATGGTTCGGTATCATCCTGATCGGGCTTGTCTTGATCGCGCAGTTCTACGTTGTGAGTAGCAAGCGCACCGCACTCCACGGCCATTTTTACTGACTTCGGATAGGCTATCTGGCCAATTGGTGGCACCACAGGACCTCGGGATGTTGTCGAGTCCTTCTTCCGTGCGTCACCACAGGCATGCTCGTGCTCCTGTCACTAATACATTCTCTCACAGAGGCCTACCTTGCTGTACCGGTTATGCTTATCTTCTGGATCGCTGGGTATGCTTGGCAACAGCGTCGCCCCTTGCGCGCGTCAGAAATTGATCTTGACACCGGCCGTAAGAGTTGGCTCACAGTGGAGCAGATGCGCGAGGTAAATTTCCACCCCATCTTCCTTCCTCCATTATACTTACGATCTTTCTCCCTTTAGTACCGTGCAGAACGCGCCGCTGCCCCATGGCACGTCCGTACTTATCGCATCCTGTTCTCCAACTAGAGCACGGTGGTATATTTCGTTCCTTCAGTAGGGCGCAAGCGCCTACTGGACCTTGTTGCATCTTTGGAATGGAGGCATTGTTTGATCTATTTACTGTATTTTCATGACTCCGTGTACGTCATATAATCACGAATGTTGTTCGTTTTTCTACGCATCACTGTAATAAACACATTTAAATCTCCCTCTCGTTCATCAGCAGAGCGCACGTTGCGAAGGTAATTGTTGCAATCTAATTCCCGAAGTGAAGTCAGTTTAGCATAACAGCCAGCCTTTTACGCGAGGTCTAGAGGGTTGTCTAGTACCTGGTAGTCCCACACATCGTTATCGCGCTCGTGTGCGCGTTCGCTATGAGTATAGGCGTTCTGGACGGTGTTCGTGATGGATTTGATATCTGGTACACCATGCGGGTGAGGCAAGATAGTTGGATTGTGTCTTAAATGAGATATGTATCCACTTCTGTCGGACCAGAGAAAAGATGATGCATATTACGCACTAACTATGCTGGCTAGCGAACGAAGTCAACACTCCATCCGCACGGCATGAGCCTTCAAGATAGGCAGAAGTATCGGAGCATCAAACGGCGGCCCAGTTGTAGGAGTTGAGACAATTAAACATTAGATCCGAATAAAAGGGACATGAACAGATAATAGTCTAGGTGTTGCACAATCACATATGTATGGGCTTGGAAGAGGCAGCCATGGCAGCCTCCTTGAAAGCTTCGCTAAGCGTGGGCTATAAAAACGACGTTGTCAGCGACTACGTAGATAACTGAGGGTTTTGATACGTACATGAGCGTGGGTCGTGCGCGCGATGTCTTCTGAGCTAGCACCGTACTCGATGGCAAGGACAGCCTCAGAAATCATTTCACCAGCGTTAGGACCTATACGGCCAATTAGTTGAAGACAATGGTTCCAGGTTTGATGAGCAGCTCGTACCAATGATGTGGACGCCAAGGATCTTATCTGTCTCCTTCTCCGTGATGAATTTGACGAAGCCCTCCATGTCCAAGTTGGTCTTCGCGCGAGAGTTGGCAGTGAAAGGGAATTTTCCAATTACATACTTCACGCCGTCAGCCTTGAGCTCCTGCTCCGTCTTGCCGACCCAGGCAACTTCGGGGTGGGTGTAGACGACGGATGGGATGGCAGCGTAGTTAACGTGTCCGTGTCCGTGCTTCACGTACTCAACGGCGGCAATTCCTATATCGTGGATTGTTCAGATACATACGGGAGAAGGAACAATGGGAAAGTCTCTACCTTCTTCCTCGGCCTTGTGAGCCAGCATGGGACCGAACGTGACATCACCGATACACTTGATGTGCTTCGCTGAGGTGTTGAACTGATCGTCAATTATCACGCGTCCCCTGTTGTCGAGCTCGACGCCAGCGGCCTCGATGTTGAGGCCTTCGGTGTACGGTCGGCGACCGACAGAGACGAGGACAACGTCGGCATCCAACTATGATTTTATCGGCTTCAGAACAACGCGCAACGGGTGGATAAACTATAACGCACCGTCTCCTCCTTGCCACCTTTGGCTGCCTCAGTCTTGATGAGGACTTTGCCGCCCTCCTTGTCAGCAGAGAGGACCTTGGTGTTCAGCTTGAACTTTATGCCCTGCTTCGACAGTATTTTCTGGAACTGCTTGCTGTCGGAACGGAACGGGATCAGAAACGACAACGGAATGGCCTACGAGACGGTGACTTACGCGACCTCCTCGTCAATACCAACGCCACCAATAGCTCCCAAGAATTCGACTACTGTGACCTCGGCGCCCAAACGACTCCAGACGCTACCCAGTTCCAGCCCGATGACACCACCACCGATGACAACCATCTTCTTCGGGACTTCCTGGAGGTCGAGAGCACCTGTCGAGCTGACAATCTGCTTCTCGTCGATCTGAATGCCGCCGCCGGGGAAGGGTGCGACTTCAGAACCAGTAGCAATAATGATGTTCTTGGCTTCGACTTCAGTCTCGCCCCCGTCGAGTAGCTGGACCCCAATTCTCGTTGGGGAAACGAACGAACCGGAGCCCTTGATATAGTCGACTTTGTTCGCTTTGAATAGGTATTCGATACCTTTTGTCAGGCCCGTGACGGCGTCTTCCTTGGCTTTGAGCATCGTCGGGAGGTTAAGGCTGACGCCAGAGACTGCACAAAGACGTAAGAAAACATATTTCCGACAATTCAGAGCAACGCACCGTCAATTCCGCGCCTCTTGAGGTCGTGCTGCGTTTGATGGTAGATGTGCGAGTTGTTGAGCATGGCCTTGGATGGTATGCAGCCAACGTTCAGACATGTTCCTCCCAAAGAGCCTCGCTTCTCGATGCAAGCCGTCTGCAAAATTTGAGCCATTAATTGACACCCTACCACACCCCGAAGATCCGTCGTACCTTCAGCCCCAGCTGGGCGGCCTTAATTGCTGCAACATAACCTCCGGGACCTATGAAAAGCTCAGTCTCTGGTAGGTTCTGCGCCAAGTCCCCTCTCACCTCCACCAATGACCACAACGTCGTACGGATCTGACGAACTGGCGTATCCCCTGTACGATTGCACTATTGCAGCCTGAGCACCTGTCTGGCGCAACCGCCGCGCTGCGCGTGGTGCGCTCTGAGACCGCAAGAACTCATGAATGGATGCTTCAGGGACAGGTAGAGTTCGCTTTCTTACCTTTTGTGCTATTCTACGGAGGTGCAACATGCTCGTCGAAATTTTAGAGGTGAATGTACGAGGAACGCTCCGCGTTCGAAGTGAAGTAAGTGATGACCCGGTGTGACGGTCACAGCTCACGCTATTGCTTGACAAACGTCACATGACTGACTCGGGCACTGAAGCCGACCCCTACCTAACACCAAGTGAACCATCAAGGGGAGGTTCGCGGGTCATTTCACCTCTCAGATCACGGAGAATCGAGTGACTGGATGTAGTTCAACTGCGCGATATGGATACACGGTAGAATGACGATAGATGTACAAGAATTCATATCAATACAAAGCTAGAGAGTATCATTATTGCCAGGGCCGTCTGATATTTGAGTTCGAAGTTGCCAGAGAATGAGAGAGTGTGACGAAGGGACGATCTCAAAGGTATTTGGAGGTCGTGCCATAACGACATTGAGGGAAGGCCTTGAGAAGGCACATTGATACAAAGCTGGAAGGGGTGATTATTGCAGGGGCTTGAGGTCGTACGGTATAAACGAAAAGGCGCGCGCGAGAGAAAGGACCAAAAGAAAGGGGAAAAGATATGAAAGAGTGGTAAGGAGCGGGCGGTTTCAAAAGAGTGTGACGCGTGTCCGGGTCGTTTCGTGGTGAGGATACGGCTTCAGAGCGACATGGATATCCCGATAAGCGCAGGCCATAAGACAAACACGATGCGGAACTTAAGCTTCTCCACGTCTATCCGCCTAGATGCATGGTCGCCATTTGTATTCGTATTCCCTGGTCGCTCGCCTTTGGGAAGCGGAGCTGCGTAGATCGTAGTTTCAGCTGGAGAGGCATTGTTACTACTGGTGGGAGTCGCTGTCGCGTTCGAGGTCGTGGGAGGAGCACTTAGAGTCATCAGATCCGCCGGGGCGAGCGCTTCGGCCTTCGCTGTGTCAGGGAAGGGCAGGACATCGAACATCGCAGTGTACACCGTCAATCGAGGCCGCCTAGACGTGAATCGGAGGAAACTGTCGCACAGTTGGGTGATGTAGCCAACGGGAGACAATATAAGCCTTACAATTTCGAGTCTTCTGAATAGGTGTACTTGGGGATGTGGACTTTGTGTTTCCGTTTCGTAGGTGAGACGTTGCGAGCCAGGGTCTGCACAAAAGTCTTGAACCGCGTCAGCCATCCTGAGCCGGCTAAGCGGGAGCCTCACATCATTCTCAGAGTACATGTTTATGGTGACTTGGCCGATGTTTGACAAACGCGGGGAAGTCTTGTCGTCTATCCAGGTCGTCCAATGGGAGGTTCCAGCGATCCAAGCCGTTGCAGAGACGGGCGTGGTAGGGTAGAGTGAAGCAGAAGTATATACGGCATAGGCGGCCAGAAACAAAGCACAGGAAGGGCGCATGGCGGGCGATGTCGTGGCAAGAGCTGGGTGAGAGCTGGGTGAGAGTCAAGAAGGAAACTCGACTCCAACGAGGAAGTAAACTTCGCGATTTCCCACGATTAACTTTCCCGCTCCTCGAGCTTCGAGTCCACCGCGTCCACCGCATGAATAAATCTCAAAGTCCCCGAGAACGTCACACACCACATCCAATGCCGTGCCATTGAGCAGTCTGTATGGACGTATCCTTGGCAACGATATTTGCTAGGGTACCACGCACTCTCCCGCGTTTCAGCTACACAGCACCTCCCGAAGCTCTCGGCCAAGCGTTGAAACCATCAACACGCGTTGCACGAGGGTATATAATATGAGCTCGAAGTACTGTGGATCGCCCATCCGCATAGGCTGGACCTTTGCGAGTAACTTCACTTTGCTGCTGGCCAGCCTCGACACGACACCTCACGACCAATTACGAACCAATTCGGTACAATATTTCAGAGGGACATGAATCGAGACCTAAACTCTGCCAGACGCCGTGCGAGAGCATGCTGCTGCCTTCCCATACCAGTCGGCGTGATCCTGTTATCTGTCACCGGCACTGTGTTGGGAGTCGGATTGGGGACCATTGGGATACTGGCTACAACTAAACTAGGTGAGATCTCCCAGCCTCTAACATATTTGGGACTACATTGATGGCATGCAATCTTCAAGACGCCCAGTTGGAGTTTGATGCCAAGATGGCTTTTCAGATGCACATTTTTCAATACATCCTCCTTGCCATCTTCTCCATCCTGGGGTGAGCAAGCTTCATTGTCTGATATATCCCTCCACTGACTTCGAGGTTTAGATTCATCGCAGTAGCAAGGAAGTCGCGGAAGGTCGCCGGATTCCATTTTTCGTCATATGCGGCCCATCTACCCTTCAACATTGGCTCCGGTGCCTTTCTTCTCTACATATTATTTGCCATGAAAGGCGGCCAGGTGCTGGAAATGTGCACGCATGTGTTAGGGGACTCCAAAGCCAAAGATATTTTCCTCGTGAAGGATGTTTGCAACCAGAACGCGTCGGCCATACGCGGCGCATCCGTAGCTATCTTAGTTGTCATCTACCTTTGGGAGTTCTGTAAGTTTCATCGCTGTCAAGTTTCTCTTATCCCTGATTCGTCCCCTGGTTTCAGACTCTTTATTCATCCTGAATTCATACACGAAGGAACTCGCTCAGGTAGACTACAAAGTCGATGAATATGTGATATCACCATGAAAAGTATTGTATACAAATGCTTATATTCGAAAACACGATAGCGTGTCTGTAGATCCAATTCTAGTCGGGCAAGCTCCACATGAAAGACTTGCCCGTTTCCTCACCGTGTGCCAGACTTTCGCCCACGAACTTGAGCGCCGTCACCGCTGGTAACCGATTCGCCTTGCCCGACATGCGCACCTTCATCGTCCGGATTGTCAAGAATTCCCATTGCGCCTTCTCCCCTACGGGTGTTCCATCCGCCGTCCAGGTCAGCAAAGAAATAGCACCATCAGAGCTACCTATAGCCAGAATTCCGAGATGGGAGTACTCGCGTTCGTGGAATGCCATCGAGGTGATGGTCGGGACAAGCCTTGAGTACGACGATAAACGTGTCAGATCAAGCGTCGCCATCGGACGGCCGTTGATGGTGTGGAGGCAGAGTCGGAGGCGAGAACAAGTTGCGACGTAGCCCTGCTCAATGGTTAGTACTTTGATTCCCTTTCTTTCGCGCACGATGCACTCACGGTGCTCTCATTGATGGCAACGAGATGAACCGAATCTTCTTCAGAGTGTCCGTGCCAGATAGTTCGTACATACATTCCTCTGTTAAGATCCCATAGGACTGCCGAACCATCCTTGGAACCACTGAGAACCGCTGACCAGGATCTGGACGCTGTGACACAAATCACTTCTTCTGTATGAATTCTCATGATGTGGGACAATGTGATCTGCAGATTGCGTTCCCTTCCATTGATTGCAGGCGTAGTCGTCTTTATTTGCGCTCCTCGAGTGATTTTCCACAAGCGTACCGTGTAATCACTTGATCCAGTGACGAGGCAGTTCGCATCTGCGAAAGAGGCGCATGTACAGTAAGCACCTTCTATAACCTGTGTGACCTAAGACGGGAAAGTTCACGCTGAGTCCCTCGTTGCAAAAGAAGGGAAGAAGCTCACTTTATGATCGACAACGGCACGGAGAGCTCCACCAGTTGTGCGGCTTGGTCCCCACTCTATTTGCTCATGTGGATGATGGGGGAAGGATAGAACGCCTTCGGGATAAGGCAAAACACGCTCCCCAATGTTGTCGAGAACAAGCTCACGAACGGGCACAGCGGACCCTAGGTCTGACCCCTATCGTGAGATTGTGGTCAACGTCCAACCAACAAGAAACGTACCTCTGAAACAACGGTTCGCTTGAGAAAGGAGGAACGGGTCTTCTTCAATTCCATGCAGCGTACCAAGTGGCAACGTCGAGAGGCCATGATGATACCGAGGAGGATGAGGAATTGTGAAAAGCTTTCTTGGAGTTTGCCCGACTGGATGGAAAGTTATTTAGTGTCATCTTTGGAATAAAGGTTATAGCACGCACAATTGTGAATGATGCCGACTGTGGCTTCTCTTTCAAGCTCATCCGTTATACTTTCGAGGTCTGGTAACAAATGAATATGTCTTCTCCTTATCGAATACGAAATCCTACCTATAGAGCCTTCATAACTCAAAGGATGGAAAACATTCAGTGCATCTGGATCCCTTTGTTTGCAACCCCAAATAAGGTCGATCCAAGCAGGTAAGTTCTCGCTAACTTGGTCACTTTCCAGAGCCTAGCAGGGAGATCAGCTTATTCAAGGAAAGTTAGTACGTGCGCGACTGACTCGGCGACTTAGGATAATAAATAACAACGGATCCCGCTTGGCCCAAGGCGGAAGCTTGACGTCGTGGATTCTCTCGCCGGTGCCCTGCTGGATGCCGAAGTCAAGGTTCGCTGAATTCTCAAGAAATCTGCAAGGAATCTGTCAGTTCAAGAGCGCGGCAGGGGTGGGAGAACACACTCGGGGCAGGTGTAGAATTCTGGTATGAGCTCCCTAACATCGCCTCGAACGTCGCGCGCGGCGGACTCGTATGCACGCCCGATGTCGCTATATTTAAAATAGGCTCGAACTGGTACATCTCGACGACAAAGTGAAGGCGCACCTGAACAAACGGTCGGGCAAATCCCAATCTCCGCCCTAAAGAGAAAGTCAGAAAAACAGATATAATGACGAGTGAACTACTAGACTAACCTGCAGCGTCTTGAACATGTTGGTGAAAGGAGCCATGCGAATCAAGAAGTGGCAAACAATCATCGATGAACTGAAGTGAGTTCCGTAGTGGAAGGGCTTTTCGTCCACGCTCTCAAGATTAGAATATCTAGCGGCAGCAGCTTCGCAGCGTGCCGGTGTCAGGGCCCCCATCGGCTTAGTTAAACTACGTTGGAAGTTAAGGCGAGCGTGCAGGCTTTCGAGAAGATACATACTCTCGATAGACTTCAGGCGAGTTCAAGTTTAACGACGTAGATGTATAATCCTGTAAAACCCAAGCTAGGCAGTGTCAATGTCAACGCACTGAACTTTGAAAGGGGCTGGACCCTACGGAAGACAGGGTATTGAGTGGCATCGCTTGGTGTTCGGCCAGAGAGTTGATTGAGGATGCTGAGGTAAGTAAACTGAGGGAGAGTGTTAGCGCTATCCATTGTATATAATTATGTGACAATACATTACTAATTTCCCTAGCTTGCCACTTCCTCTGTGCAGTCGAAATCTCGTCAATCTTCAGGCCAGACAAGACCCGCGAACTAACACGGCCTAGTAATGGCGACTTCAGAAGTGCTGACCCTATGCCGGGAGTAGAAACCTCTAGCGTAGTCCGACTAATGATAGTCGAAAGTCGATGATACGTGTCAGAGCGACGTTCCTTATGCAGAAACACCACCAGCAACGATCGGCTGTCCTTGAAGTAGATTTCAAGTCTAAACAAGGATGTGAGTTGTGCTTGAAAAGTAACGCAAGGTCAAACATACGCAACATCTCTGAAGAGAAAAGTTTTGTCGCTGAACGAAGCGATTTGGTCGTGCGACCTAATATCTCCTCAGAAGTATTTGCAGAGGATGCTAGATGTGGCTCACCACCGTTGAGCACGCTGAGGTCCATCAAGTTCGACTATACTTCCTGGAACAGAGAAGAGATGTCGCGGGGCATCATGTGCGTCAATGACCTCCCCGTCATCGTTCTCAACGACCCCGTCTAACATATACACATGTGTTTTCCCGATTATGAGAAGACCGGCTAGATATCCTGCTTAGCCCAATAATGGACGGATGTGGGGACACATACGGGATGAATCAACCCCAGCGATTCGGGCAACAGTAGCAACTGCCTCGATGACATCGCCAGGCTCTAGTTCATGCCGAACTCTTCTATGTTTATCATCTGCTATATCTTCTGCGAGCTGTCGATCTTCGTGCATGTTAGTAGCCGGAGTTGCGGGGAGAACACGAACGACAAACCCTCCATCTCGGTTGCGGAGATTTCATACGACTCGGCCCAAGGAGGTACTTCAACTTGTATTTGAGACGAAGTCTCTGATTCTGGCATGGTGACGTCTCTTAGGTGATCATAACTCTCTAACCGAGAACTCCAAGTCTTGTCGTCCTGGGGTTCCATCTTCTTCCTGCTTAAATCAGTTACACTGTCATGGATGTAGATATGCAGTTTACCTAATACGTTGTGGCCCCTCCGTTTCGTCGAGACGCCAAAGGCGATCATCACAATGAGGCCAGAGGCCGCGTTCGGACTCTAGAAGGAGTGCCCAGTCGCCCAGTCGAGATATCTGCCGTCGATGCTCGCGTCTATAACAGAAGAGTTGATGCTGGAACATCATACCGAACGCATGGTTGCCTACAGGTCAAGGACATCCTTCCGAAGTCTCTTGCGCTCAGAAGTCTGGATGGTCTTCCGCCATTCTTGCATCCTTGCCACAGTCTTCATGATCGTGCGTTCTCCAACTTGCATGCTGAGTCGCGCTGACGCAATCCTCTGGCGCACAGATCGCACGTCAGCCACAAGGCTTGGGTCAATCGCCGTCCTCTCCGCATCCGGATTTATGGACGCCTCAGCCATTTGCATCGTATCTAAGATCTGCGCCGAATGAGAAAGGCATGACGGTACGTCATGGCATCCCTCGTACCTGGCGTTTCTGACTGCCAGCAACCGAGTTGTCCAGAGCAAACGCCAAACCTAGATGGTTCAGTTTCTCAACCGTGCTGGTTGTCTTGCTATTCAAGGCAGGCAGGGCAGTTATCCTGGATACATACGCCTTGTACGCGTCAACGAACAGCTGCGTCGTCTGCTGTGATTTGAAAATCTGCCGAAACGTGGAACTAGAGGCATGCAGATTCATGAGTTCTTCTATCAGTAACTCGATGACCGATTCTGAGGAAGAGGGCGGGGCTGAGAGTTTCTCGCGTTAGAGATCGAGGTATTGAAGATAACAAGCAGCGCCTTACCCTGATCCGCTGCCATCTCTAATGCCTTTGACATTGACTCCAGTCCTTCTTTCAGAGCGCATAGAATAGCAGGGACTATCTGGGGACACACTACTACGTTACCACCAGCATTTGCGTTTGTACTCCCCCGGCCGAGAAGGATCCCAAAGGCTGCTTCGTTGACGTTGCGATCCCACGCCCTGGGGAGGACGGCTTTCAACACATTCCACCCGCTTATGAGCTCAAACTTCCGGCTAAATGTCGGCGAGGCTTGTAGACTCATACTGATCAGCGCTAGCACCCGCGTGGCGATGAATGGGGACGGGCGATCCCCAAGCAACAGCAGAGGTATCCGCGTATGGGGCAGGGAAACCGCGAATCGCGTGTAGGATGTCGGCGAAGAGAGGATGGACAACAGGGCAGCGAAGACGTGCTCTGCCTTTTCGCGTCCACCGGTTTGGTCAAGGCGGGATACAATCGACAAGGGGGAAGATGGCGAGTCGGGCTGACCAATTGGGTCTAGCAAACGACGTCTAGCTCGGCTAGCAACGGTGGTGACCGTGAACGCACCTTCGTGCAAATTCGCAGCCAAATACGAAACGATTGGCTTGATCGCCTCATCCTTGGTGAAGTTAGCCTCGGCTACGACTCTGAGCGCGTCTATGAGGTGCGGCAAGTCGTCGCGACAATACCAATCCGTCTGGACGGCGAATAGAAGCTTCCTGACAAGCCCCATTTTGACAAAGCGCTGTTTGCTGTTGAACCTCCTGTAACGGCTGGTCTGAAGAAGTGTAGTGAAGTGCGCGAAGTACTCCCGTTGTATCTCGTCCTTGGTCCGCGACCACAGCTCGAAGTCCAGCGCGATCGCGCGATAGGCTATGGGATTTACTACCGTTGACTGACTTTGAAGCAAAGTCAGCGCCGGCGATATTGCACGAGACGGCGAGAGGGACTAACTCGGGTGTCTTGAAGTTGACTCCAAGAAATTCGAAAAGCGTCTCAAAACTCGTCATATTGATAAACTGGCTCTTCTGGCGTAGGATGTCCGCGAGAATCTCGTAGCCCCCTTCAAACCGTGTCAGTATACTAACACCGCGGAGATCAAACGCTTAGCTCACGCATGCGCTCCATGTTCTCCGAGTTTTTCCAGCTATTCCGCAAGCCGTCTACGAGTATACCGAGTGACCTGGATAGTTCATGTGGAGACTACAAGTCGTAAAATGTCAGCGCGGAGCCCTTGTAACTCGGGAAAATGAAGATTAGCTACCTTAGCAAGTTGCACTAGCCGCATCGCAACAGGCGCACCGCCCAGACGCCAGAGGGCCTCATCCAAGCACGCCGCCTTTACGACATAGACATCGCCGTTGACCGACAACTCCTGCAGCTTCTGATGCCCGTCGTCCCCGTGGCGCGGAACCTCCAACGTACCTATGAAGCCAGACTGCGGCACACTTCCCGCAGACAACGACAACAGTATAGACGACTCCGGCAAGGCAAGCCCATCTTTTATGGCTTTCAGCAGCGAGAGTTGCTCGGAAGAAGCGCCTGCCTTCGAAGCGACGTTGGACATGAACATCGTCAGTGACGTCGAAGCCTCGTACGTGAGGAACTTGACCAGATCCGAGTCTTGCAGGTTTCCGGTGTAGCGTGGGCCCAAATGGTGGATGAGTCGAGGGTGTTCATCGGCTGCGCGTGAGATGTCAATGGGGATGATAAAGTGGGCGCTCGCTGAATTGTACCTATGGAACCTCCAACTAAATATGTCGAGGCCATGCACCACGACATTCCGGTGTGATTTTCAACGCTTCCTATCTCGAAAGCTTGCACCCCCTCGAGCGCGAGAGGTTGGATCAACTTCAAAGTGTCAATTAGAGCACCATCAATGAAGAATTCTACCATCGATCGTTAGATATATCAGAGAAAGGGAGCCGTTCACTAACTTAAGGAGCAGTGTGATCTTTGTGAGTGATACGTGACGACAAAATGGGTCCACCTGGACTTGGTGATAGGAGCTGAGTCCACCACCCATGGCGTCGACAATATGCCCAACTGTGATTCGAACTTGCCATCAGGGCGTAGATAGAGCCCCAAAGACGGGCGGAGGCGAACGAGCGGATATGCTGTAGCTGGCAGTGATTCTATCCATACCCACATCTGCATTGATTGGTTCAGACGTTGGCACCGGCGAACGCTTAACGACGAACCATAATGCTGCATCCCGACGCCAGTGCCTTTGTATTGACTCCCGAGAGACAGATGGAAGAGGTAGATTCCATCGAGAAGTGTTCAGGCCACCGCGATTTCATGCCTGACCGTATCGGCTCTAGAATGTCCACATCCAACGAATCATCCCCTTTCACTGCCCTTTGAAATATAAATCGTGCTTCAGGAGTTGTCGCACCCATGTCAAGCAGCTTCTTCAGCAGCTTCGACACGACCTGCCGCTCCCTCGCAGAGATCCCTGTTCGGCTGCCATAGTAATAGCCCAGCAGCGGCTTGATTATACCACTTGCGCTGAGAACTGCTTGATTGCGGTGGCTGAACCGGCAGAGTTGCTCAAAGACCTTGAAGAACACCATTCGAGAAGAGTGGTCCTCCACGGGAATGCGCGGTAGGGTATCCCATAAAATATTGACCGCACCAGGGTGGCGTATTGGACCTATCCTACTACATACCTCTGCAACTTGGATATCAAGTTGCCCGTCATCAGATGGTGCAAGTTTGAGGAATGACTCCGAGAACGATGCATCCTGTAGGAGCAGCGAGAGCACGAGTCCTAGCACGTCTGGGCGCGTTTTCCCGTTGGAGACGAGGCTGCTCAGTGACTGCGCAAGCGAATCAAACCCAACGCTAGTCTGGGCATATCTAAGAGAGTTGCGAAGGTGATAGTCTTTCACACTCACTCGGAAATAGGACGTATTTCCAGGGTGGTCTTGCATGGCATCCCTCAGAATGGCAAACACCAGGCGGGCCGTTTGAATTGCACGTTCCACAAGTTGGTCCTCTGGTTCCACGACAGGTCCGTTACTCTGGAGCTGGGTTGTCGAGAGCGTCTTTATCAAGAACAAGAACCCATCGAGTTCTCGGAAGACATCCTTTGTGCACGAGTTCTGCAGCATGATGCCGTGTATCTCTGCAAGTGACTTCCGGGTAATTGGGGCAAAGAGGGGCAAAGTGCAAAGCAAATCACGCACCTGAACTTGAGCCGCCTCGTTCTCCGCCAGCTTTAAGCTCTCTATAGAGTTCCGCATGAGCTGTATCAAAACATCGCGCGCAAAGTCCTCCGGAGAAACGTCGTCGTCGTTCCCTTCCTCTGATGGTAGTACCGCCGGGGATGGCTCAAAGCGAGAGCGTAGTGGAGTGAGAAGAGTTCTAAACATAATCAGGCATTCCCCAGTAGAAATAACCTTGTCTCGACACTGATGGCCACGCGTATGTAAATGGTATTCAAGTAGTTCCAGCAGTTACAGCGGGGGCAGAATCACATGATACGCCCCTGAAGCCCCTTAATAGACACTCCTAATCCTAATCTCTTTGTGTGGCAAAATTCCAGCATGCTATAAATAACACTCATGAAGGCGTGCTAGTACGTTCGGCCGTGAGCATTTCAGATATATATATATTCAGATTTAGTCCCCACAGTCCTCAGCCATTCGACAAGGAAGACTTCGATTCGCAACGAAGCTCCACTTTCTCGACAAGATATCATCGTATCAGATGGGATTCTGGCTTTTGCCAAGGATTGTTCTGAACTTCGACGTCGCCACGTCGATACATAGTAGACATTTCGTTGGCTCAGCCATAGAGAACATCATGAAATGGCGATGTAGAGCAGTTGGTCGCTTCTCAATGGCGGAGTTTGTCTTCTGTCACGGAAAATCCTGTGCTCAAAGACTCGGAGCGCCCATGATCGTAGTAAAATGAAACCATTGTCAACGAGAAGTCGAGTCACCTTCAGCACTGCATGGTGGGTCTGGGAAATGATGACTCGTTGACTGGCTGTGATCAGCAGTATAAGAACCGACTCCCCAAATCCCTACTCACCTCAAATCACCTCACCAAATGTCTACTTCAGAAGACAACCCGTTGACTTCGCTTCGTATTTCCCCTGCCACCCTTGCGGACTACGAGGAAATCAAACCAAGGCCTCCCCACAAGGGCCCACCCTTCGCGCTCATCAGGACCAACGAGCACCCAGACCTCCCCCTCCGAATTCACAATTATACCGACAAAGCAACCCGGTGGCACATAGGCGACCCGCTCGTCCAAGCTGCCCGAGCCCTCATAACGGAGCGCACAACGGGGAATATCGTTTCTCGTTCTTTCTCCAAGTTCTTCAACTTTCATGAACGACCGGCGTACAAGCCGACGGGAGATGAATACACATCCGTTGTAGAGGAGAAGGTGGATGGAAGTATTATCAGCCTGTTTTGGTATGCAGGGCAATGGAGGATGGCTAGCAAGGCCCAGTTCTCCGGACCCCACGTGAGCGCAGCGGAGGAGGTGCTACGCGACCTGTACCCCGGTGCCACGAGCCTTCTCGACAAGGAAAAGGCATACGTCTTCGAGCTTGTATACCCCCGATTGCCTTTGGCCATAAAGTATACAGAAAACAAGCTTGTGCTTCTGTCGATCATTGGCAAAGACGGTTCCGAACCTCCATGGGATTTCGATTGGTCGATTTTCCCGTTCCCCCGACCTCGAGTCCAGCGAGTGGAGCACGGAACGGCATTGAATATGAAGGAATTGAAGGCGCTGAACCTAGCAAACGAGGAAGGGTTTGTTGTCAAATACTACAGGACAAAGGATGACCGACGGCCTCAGAGGATTAAAGTCAAGTTCGAGGCCTACCTTGCGATATGCGCGTTCGATAGGTACTCCCCGCGGATCATCGTAGAAGATTACATTCGCGCGAGGGCAGCCATCCCATCCCTGGATTGGGCAAATGTGGTCAAGCCGAAGCTGGAGGCAGTCAGACTCGCAAACGCTGAATCCCGGGCGGGAGCAGCAGATGATTTCGGGGGAGAAGCGTGGCTGGCTGCACTGGCAGCTTTAGACGCACGCGTCTATAAACTCTTTGAAGAGAAGGAACGCGAGTTACTTCGAGCGAGGGAAACGTTACGCAGTGCTGGATACGATATTCCGGGACCCCGGTCAGGCAAGGAGAGGGGACCTTTTGTTGTGAAGATCAAAGAGAATGCAGACTCGACAGTGCAGAAAGCCTTGTTTGCGTGGGATGCGGGTGCTGGAGATAAGAAGGTGATAGAGTCTTTCCTCAAGGCCGTAGTACTGCCTGAGGATTTGAAGTCGGGAGAAGCGGTCCGAGTCGAGGCGGTCCCTTGAGAAGGTACATTTATACTTTGGAAATAATCTAGTTCATCCAATACTCAACCCGTTCGTTCGAAATCATCCATGAGTTCAAAGATGGTCTGTAGAAGCGCAAAGATATCGTGTTCACCCTCCTTGCTGTACGTAAACAGCGTAATGAAGTGTTGTATGGATGCCAAGTGCATGTTTATCGGCAGCCGAAATAGTTGCCCTTGATAACTGCGGGGCACCCAGAGGTATCTATAATATGGTTTGTATCAGAAAACCATCCTTCCCGGCGTAGCCAGGATGCGACCTGCCTTTGTCTAAGGGGCAATCGTTGTAGTCATCGCAACATTTGATACACGCACGCGAATCAGATGGCTCGACGAGTTCAACATAATGCTTGTACCTAAGATGCGTTCAGCCCGGGCGTTCAGTATCAGTGACAAAGAATGAACTCGCCCAAGGCACTTGCTCCCTCGCGGATTACCTTGGCCGCCGTCCCCACCGCTGGAGTCGTATTGGCCACCACCGTCACTCGGATTCAGACGATCGAGCGCACCGGCGTTGATGCACCCAGTCACTGTCCATTTGTTAGCATTCAAGAGTTTACCAGAAGGTAGGGATGACGTACGCTGAGCGTATCGTCCGCCATTGGGTCCCCGCCCGGTTTTGAATTCGACGTTTCTCCAGAAATTACCGGGAAGAGTGCCCTGGCTAGCATCATAGCGACCAGCTGGCGAGCAGTAAGTCTTCATCCCCCCTGGTCGCTCGCTGTCACCAATGTTCGTATGAGGCTCCCTGTAACGCATCAGACGTCAGCTGCATGCTCAAAGTAACTCTGATTGGTACAGACCGTGGCACGATCATACTAGAAATAACTCATGTTAGCAGGCGACGCACAGCGAGGAAAAGGGGGAGCACTCACCAGAACTTGTTGGCATCGGTGACATACACGGTGTTGTCGGGGCTGGGTGCCCTTGCCTCTAAGGCATTGGGGATAGCCACGACGACCGATGCAACGAAGGAGAGAATCAAAGCGGCCCGCATGTCGTTGGTAATGAGACGCTAAGATGAACTAGTGGCGACTCGTGTGTCTGCCACTGGTAGGACTTCCACCTCAATGGCACCCATCCTTTTGTAGTGATTGTCCTATCTGCATTGGGACATTTTAGGTCCGTTCTTGTCACTGAGGATCCAGACGCGAAACGAGAAGCAAAGGCGAGCAAAGGCCATTCATGCCCGCGTCGTGTCGAAACACGCGCATGACTCCGTCATACGGTATCATGTGGACGACGGACCTTGGCTTAGATGGATTCGCAGGATTGGGGTACCAGCTTTCTATGCTTGCTCTCGGTCTCGGAGATTGTCGTATGTTCGCTGGCTGTGGTTGAAGTTTGAAGCTTGAAGGGCAGATTGGTGACTAGATCCCAGTGGTAGATCGCGAGTACCCTCTGTCCATGATTCTCACCACGCCCAACAGAGCCCAGCGAAACGGTCACTGGTTCAAGCTGCCGCAGCCTAGGTGGCGCGACCCATGTGGAAATCCGATTCACTAAACGATCAGTTATCGGTGCACTGTGATATAAGAAATACAGAGATTGCTCGACTGTACCAGCAAGATTAATCACTATACAGCAGTAATATTCATGCCCTTGGGGAATCCAATTGAACCAGTAAAAATCTATACACTTGGGTATGCAGCGATACCTCAACCCCAGAGAAACCGCTTTCCAGGTATTATCAGAAGGGATGGTACGGGGATGGAGCGTCGATGCGTCGTGAAGTCCGTGATGGAGGCGAAAGTCGGGTGAGCTCCCCGTAGTGTCATGAACAACGCTCGGCGTGGTAGACAGTCCACCCTTTACTCTGAAGATACCCGTCCATCGCTGTGAAAGCGCACCTCCTCAACTCCCTCTCCAGCAGCCAGACATCGTTACAAGTAATCACCCCGCAGTCGTGGAGAATGCAGATGGCATCGAGGAACCACGTACGAGAACTGAATTCAGCACCATGCCGATCTATGACCCGGCCATCATCGACCTTCGGGATCTCCACCGTCTTGAACATCGAGAGCAATCCATCCATCCCGACCACTTCATGATAAGCCCCTAGACTCTCCAGATCCCCCAGCCGGACAATCGCAACAGTCAACGGCGACCCCACGATATCCTTGCTCGCTGTCTCGAACACCCAGCGATTCGCATTATTAACATCGCTTTTGACATGGAACACAGTCCCGCCCGAGCCAATTGGTGATTGGGCGGGATCAGGGACAAAGAAAGCCCAGTTCCAAGATGCAAGGTCTCCGCGATATGTCAACAAGGCGTAAAGACGTCCTGGCTCTAGACTGCTGCTTGGATGAAGGGTCGAATGTGTCGCCATTGGTGGTTCGTCGGTGTCGTTAAAAGCATTTGAGTTGGACATGATGCTCGCAGTATTCTGCGGGGCGAGGTTATAGATTGAGGCGGTACCTTGCAGGCTGCAGATATCAGACCAGGCAGCCATCCATGAACGAACATCAGCATGTCGTAAACGAAAAAAGCGTGGTTATGAAAAGACGTACCGAATTAACGCGGGATAATCCTCCCAAACGAAGTTTCAAGATAAGTTGTTCACTCTGCAACCGTTGATGTGGTGATTCCCATGTTTCCGGAAGATTCCAAGGCTAAATTGCCTCAGCCATAAAATGAATTTCGTTGATTTACTGCGAGATTCCATAGAATGCAGAGCACAAGAAAAATGCGAAGACGGAAAGGCTGAGTGCCCAAGAAAAGGTACGAAGCCTTCACCCGTCACCAAAGTCCAGATGAAAGCTATATCGAACCAAAGAATTGGCTAGACTGTGCCATTCTGGCCACGGAAGAGAAAAAATGATTTCGGATAGCGTCTAATCCAAAACATAGACCTCACGGGTACATCGATGTTATACAAAGCTCCTATTAAGCTACGCACCAATATCGACCAATATCGATGGCTTGTTCGTTGCTTCCTTCGTTCGTCAATCCCTCTGAGGAGGAGCGTGGGATTGTGAGCGTGACCAGAGCTCCTGAACCCCTGGAGGACTCGTGCTGACATAGGCTGACATTCTCACCACCCACATCACGCCGATATTTATAAGTAGAAGGTTCTGGCATAGAATGCTAAAGAGCCCAACATGTCTGACCCGTCTTACAAAGGAGTCGCAATAATTACAGGTGCTGCCGAGGGCATCGGACGGGGCATCGCCCTACGACTGGTATCCGACGGATTCGACGTTGCGATCAACGATATTCCCGCCAAGATAGACGCGCTCGAACGCGTGGCCAACGAAATCAGAACAAACTCTTCCCGGAGAGCTATATCTGTCCCCGGAGATGTTTCGATCGAAAGTGATGTGAAAGGCATTGTTGAGAAAGTGGTGCAAGAGCTTGGAGGACTGGATGTGGTACGCCTTCAGTGTGTTCAGCTCAGATGTTAGATTTAACTGAGTGATGGTTAGATGATTGCTAATGCCGGTATCGCCGTCAACAAGCCAATCGCTGATAGTACGTAGGTTGAGAATTCACCGAGACTACGCTGAAGATGGACTACATAGCAACGGTTGATGAATGGGATCGGCTCTTTTCCGTCAATGTGCGCGGGACATTCCTGTGCTACAAGCATGCTGCAGAGATCATGGTCAAGCAAGGCAGAGGTGGTCGGATAATCGGTGCATGTTCGATCGCCGGAAAGAAAGGTACGCGTTGCCACTCGACTCGATCAAACATTGCGACACTGACGCTAGCGCGTAGGTATCCCGGAAGCAGCATGTTACAGCAGTACCAAGTTCGCAATCCGTGGGTTGACTCAGAGTGCAGGTACGGATGGGTACCTCTAGCAAATGATTTGTTCAATGGAGCTGACGTCCCGGAAAATATAGCGCAAGAGTACGGGAAGTATGGTATCACCGTCAACGCCTATGCGCCTGGCGCTATTGAGACGCAATTCCGTGAGTAATATCATAGATTGTAACCGCATTGATACCATTTTATATTTCAGTGGGGAAATTTGATGGATACCACGCCAGCAAAAGTGGCTTGAAGCCTGGAGAATGGACCGAAGCCGTGAGCTGATCGATCTCTACTTTATAAACACATTGAGGCCTTATTGCGACGCATTGTAGCTAAAAGGTGGCGTAGCTCTCGGAAAGAACGGATCGCCCACCGAAGTCGCAAGCTTGGTTTCGTATCTCGTCTCCAAAGACGCCCATTTCATCACCGGTACGTCTCCTGAGTCACTCGTCTCCGTGTATTTGAATCCAACGATGTTGTTGTGCCAGGTCAAAGTGTGAGCCTACCCGTTTCATGTATTGCAAGCTGCGAGTCCCTGAATGGAATGTATAGATCCTCGTCGATGGCGGAGGGCTCTTTGATTAAGCGACTCACGATGAACTCGAATATTCATCAAGGACAAAACATGTTTGATCAAAATATATGTATCCAATACAATAAAATTAACAACCATAGTCAGAGCTCAACTTGCTTCGAGGTCAGTCTAGAAGATTTATAGCAAGCTACAATCCTGGAAACTCCTGTCCCTTCGACAATGACAACGCACAATGCTGAATTGTGATACACCATCACCAATAACGAAGCTCACGCTACTCGGGTCACCTAGCCTGAGAAGCTCGACTAAATATAATAACCCCCTGACCCCTGGTAGACTTGCGCGCAGCGCTGACATACGACGAGCTATACTAAGTTCTAACTTACCCACATTACACCGACATATATTGGCTTACTTCTGGGATGTGAAGATAATCCCCCACATGTCCGAACCATCTTTCAAAGGCGTCGCGATAATTACAGGTGCAGCCGAAGGCATTGGGCGAGGCATCGCCCTCCGCCTCGTATCGGACGGGTTCGACGTTGCGATCAATGATATTCCAGCAAAGAAGTCGGCACTCGAGCAATTAATCAGCGAAATAACAAGTTCAACCCCACGGAGGGCCATTGCCGTTCCGGGTGATGTATCCAACGACGGCGACGTCAAGGGAATCGTTGATAAAGCAGTGCAGGAGCTAGGGGGACTTGATGTGGTACGTCTTGCGGTGGGATTCAATTTCAAGCCAAGAAATTAACGAAGGGTGGCTGGCTAGATGATTGCAAATGCTGGGATCGCCGTTAACAAGCCAATTGCCGAGAGTGCGTCCGTTCAAACACCACGTTAGGCTACTTGTGCTGAAGGCTGTTCAGCAACGACGGACGAATGGGATCGGCTATTTGCCGTCAACGTTCGCGGAACGTTCCTATGTTACAAGCATGCTGCCGATGCCATGATCAAACAGGGAAGGGGTGGTAGAATCCTCGGCGCCTGCTCAATCGCTGGGAAGAAAGGCGAGTATGATCAACCTTTTACCATAACATGTACTAATGGCACTTCGCAGGTATTGCGGAAGCAGCGTGTTATAGCAGTACGAAGTTTGCCGTTCGTGGTTTGACGCAGAGTGCAGGTACGTTGATCCCACTCCACCTATGATGGATAAGTCAGGCCAATACAATCTTTGTTTCAGCGCAGGAGTATGGGAAATTTGGGATTACAGTAAATGCTTACGCTCCCGGCCACATTGAGACTCAGTTCCGTGAGTGGAATCACTGTCCCTTCCGATGACCTGACCGCCCTCTACCCTCAGTTGGCAGGTTCGACGGATATCAAGCTACCAAGAAGGGCTTGAAACCCGGCGAGTGGACCGAAACGGTGCGTTTATTCTTACGTATAATGAAGCAACTCACGAAGGTGACTGTATGGTGGGGACAGTTGAAAAGCACGGTAGCCGTCGGTAAAAATGGAACACCCACCGAAATCGCTAGCTTGGTGTCGTATCTCGTCTCGAAAGATGCCCATTTCATCACAGGTGCGTCGTGTTTTTTCATTCAAATAGATGGGACTAATCGCGTGGCACCAGGTCAAAGTGTGAGTGCCTCCAGTCAACGCTCCGAGCAACTGATGAGTAACATGTGCATGTGCAGATCATCGTCGACGGCGGAGGGATATTCGATTAATTGCTTCGTCACAAACGTAAACATCTATAACTTTGTGATCAAGATACATATTCTTGGGGTATAAATATTCTATATCGAAAGTTGGCTGTTGGCAATGCAAATTATACCACTGAGAATGCAGAACCGCCGGCCTTTGCGTCCATTTCAATGACCGGGTCCAGCCCTTCCGAAATCGGGTTACTTTTTGCGAGACTAAAAGAATCGTGAACTGTTGCTTACCCATGACTTTGAAGAATGCCTTCGGATCCATACCTTGCGCGGACACAAAGTCAGTACCAGTCTTCTTGAGAGACTGCATGGCCGCACGGCAAGCATGTACCATGGCTACACAAGATACAAGCGAGAAGACTATACAACGAGTCAGCTACTAGGGTAGGAAAGTCAAACATGGACGCACTAATGATCTTGGCACCCATCTCCTCGGCTTCTTTGTAGGTGAACGGGGGCGTGAGTCCACCAGAGATGACGTTAACGAGGACCGGCTTGGGTGCTAATGCGGCGACGGTCTTTTCGAGGAGGTCCTTGGACTTAACCCCTTCGATGAAGCACACATCCGCGCCAGCGGCTGCCGCAAGCTTCAACCGCTCAACAGCCTCCTCCATTCCTAGGACTTGGGCCGAATCCGTACGACCAATAATCACCTACGCCGTCCAAGACTCTGGTCAACATACATCCAAGGGCCGTTATGAAAATCTAAAATTACTCACGAAATCAGATCCGCCGGGGATCGAGTCCCGGGCGATGACAGCGGCGCGGATGCGCGTAATGAACTCTTCCCTCGAGACAACTTGTTTGCCGAGAAGATGACCACATCGCTTGGTTTGCACCTGATCCTCGATATGCAGACCCGCCACACCGCACCTAGCGTATTGGGTCACGGTTCTGGCTACCATAGCAGGCCCGCCGAATCCAGTGTCGGCATCTGCAATGACTGGACATGTGGGGTCGAGACTGCAGACCATCTGTGCGGACTGAGAATATTGATTATTAGCAACATCACGCGTAAAGGGACGGCGAGGTACTCACGCCTACGAAATCGTTAAGCGTCGCGATGGCGAGATCGGGCTGCCCCATCCGGGAAGCAGTGGTCGCTGCTCCGGATTGGTAGAGGCAGTTGAACCCAGCCTCAAGTGCGCATCTCGCACTGATTCCATCGCAGATGCCTGGTGCGACCTAATGGGGAAGAAGGCTCAATATTAGGGACTTTGCACACAGTTCCTTGAATTATATAGTACGTACCACGATCCCAGGGCGCGCAAGCATCTGACGGAGGCGGGTAGCGGGGTTATCAGATAGAGGGCCTTCGAGGTAGTTCTTGGGGTCCAGGCACGGATTGTAGTAGTTCCCAGAAGCATCCGTATGGGTTGACTTGGGAAGGACATCCTCCACAGCTGGCGCAGGGGCGGGATCCGCGGCTGAAGAGGTCTTTGAGAAGTAATCGAGAGCGGGGGACATTTGTAGGGAGCGAGATGTGTTCAGAGTGTTCGAGGGAACAGTGGCTTTGAGAGAAGAGAGTGAAGGGGGATGACTTTCACTGTTCTTGCGCGGAAGGTTATATAGCGCGAAAGTAAAATGGTTTGTGATGGAAATACAACCGCGACTTTCGTCGTACACATTGGGCACCTATGGAAGATCAACAAAAATGAAGCGATATCGAAACAGCGGATAGGGCCCCCACAGACCAATAAAGAGCTCTAAGCGATAGTGTAATGTTAAGCGATCAGGCCCGCTTTCTACTTTTCTCGTATTCGCCGCACTATGTCTGGCGTGGACTCGTGGACTTGCTCGGCGATAGAAGCTATCTACCATTGTAATATTGGAGTTGATGAACAACCGCCCAGTAGCCGACGGTTGTGGGCAGCTTCCAGTCAAGTAGGCTCAGAAACGAGCGCAATGTAGTTGGTGCCTTGGAGGGCGACCAGTGAAAGGATTAGGATAACGCTATTTCAGAAAACAGCAACAAGCGATGCCTAAACGTACCTCCGCTGAGAATGATGATCACCTTGAGAACAGCGCTGTTACTCACAAGAGTCCGATAGGGCTAGAACAAATTATCAGATGCCTTGGTGAGCCCTCATAACAAGCATGGAGACAGGTCTCTGGGCGCCCAAGCGGCGAAGCGTTCTTGACTTTAGCCCATAGAATTTGACACATACTTAAAAAATGACCCGATCTCTCGAAGCCTAGAGAACACAGCGTTGTTCGTTGGAGACATGAATTGAAAAGAATCCGGTACTCACGTCAATATATCCGTCCGAAACTTTGAACAGATGGCTGCCAGGCCGCCGCAGAATCTTAGCTCAAAGCGTCCAAGTGTCCGCCGTAGGACGTTCAGGGGGTTGGCGAGTCCCATATACCCGTTTTCTACTATATTCTGTGGTAGTACCCAGGTTGCCGTTTCCCTAGGAATTCAATTTGGATTGCCCAAGTCCTTTGCCCATGGTTTCGCGTCGCGTCGCGTCAAAGCGTGGAACAGGTTGAAAGGGTGGAACTGTGGCGTGAGATCTTGCCCCTGTACCCCCTCACGCTCTCAATATTTAATATTCAATGTTCGATGCTTCTCCCCACAATTAAAATATTAAACTCTCACATGCGTAGTGTATAAAGTGAGTTTCTGCTCTTCACTCTTCTTCACCTTCATCCATGTCCGACTTATCTCTACCCTCGCAATCAAAAGGTGTGGCAATCATCACCGGTGCCGCGCAAGGTCTTGGCCGTGCCATCGCTCTTCGTCTAGCTTCCGACGGCTTTGATGTCGCCCTAAACGATATCCCCGCCAAAGCTCCTGCGCTTGAGGAGCTGGTAAACGAGATCAAGGCTGGGGCTGGGACGAATTCGGAGCGGAGAGCTATCTTTGTACCAGGAAGCGTGGCGAAGGAAGACGATGTAATGGAGCTAGTAGCGAGGACGGCGCGAGAGCTCGGAGGCCTCGATGTGGTGCGTTTATAACACGCCAATGTTCCCTAAAGCTTGCTCTATAGTAGGCGTAGGGATCTGTCACGCTGATTGACTTGTTTGATCATTTGATTGTGCAGATGGTAGCCAATGCAGGGTTCGCTCTTAATGGTCTCATTTCTGATAGTACGTATGTTTTCTATGTAGTGAATAAACACGGAGGGATATAAAATGGTCCTTAATATCCACAGCTTCGGTCGAGGATTGGGACGCTTTATACGCTGTCAACGTTCGCGGCACGTTCCTTTGCTACAAACATGCAGCGGATGCCATGATCAAGCAAGGTCGGGGCGGTCGAATAGTTGGTGAGGAACATCTTCGATTGCATCGCTATGAATACGTTTGTGATATCTGTATGGGGCGCAGGGGCTTGCTCAATCGCTGGCAAGAAAGGCTTCCCAGACTCACCGGCCTACTCCAGTTCCAAGTTCGCGGTCAGGGGGCTAACGCAGAGTGCAGGTGAATCAATACATCAGTAACATTTCACAAAGAGGACTTAAGGCCGAAATGTATCAAATAGCCCAGGAGTACGGAAAATACGGTATAACGGTGAATGCCTACGCCCCCGGCTCCATCGTCACAGAACTCCGTGCGCTTCTTCCTCCCCTTGTTAATTGTTGTTATTTGACGGTCAACTTGACTGTGACATTGGCAGTCGGCAAATTTGATGCGTACAACGTTAAGAAACAAGGGTTGGAACCTGGTCAATGGACCGAATCTGTGCATTCATATCTACCAATTCGTCCGTTGATCCCTCTGACTTATCCATGAATATACGACAGCTGAAGAACCGTGCCGCACTCGGAAAGCTCCTAACACCCACTGATATCGCGAACTTGGTGTCGTTCATAGTATCGAAGGATGCTAGTTTCATCACTGGTAAGCTTTCTACTCTATTGTGGGCGGTACCGAAAGCATTGATCACAACACTAATAATGCGTATGATAGGCCAAAGTGTAAGTGGTTTTCCCAGCGTCTCTCGGGGTACTAACTGTACTGACGGACATGGGTTTACAAGATCATCGCTGACGGGGGTGGTTTATTTGATTAAACCTTCCAAGAACTAAACATAAGGTACGAATAAAGTAGATCTCGGAAGATGAGCTCTTGCTGCAAAGTAAACCTGCAAAGTGAAAAAAAGCAACGCTCTTCGGTATTCAAAGATATGCCTAACTCAGAGTCTCCCTCACAATCCCGTACTTCCTGGGAGCCTCGGGCGAGGTCTCAATGAGGAATCGGTTGCAAGTAAATATCGCCAGGAGGCCCCTATTTTTTCGCTGGGGCATTCATACCACGAGCTCCTTCAGATAGAAGGTGCACATTATAAACCAGCACACTCAAGCTAGAATTTACGGCTGACAACCTGACCCTGAGTTACCGTGCTGATCCAAGAGCCAAATATCTGTGTGCTGGATGAGCATCCCAAATGCAGTTGACAGCAGTACCTAGGACTCACGCCGAAAGCGCTGAACGCTTTTACGGACAACACTCAGTGAACATATAATTTACTAGCTGACAGAAGAACTCACTAAAAGTTAGAGGCCACTGGTTGGGTTGAGTTTGCCTGAACACTGATAAGCCGCGAATCTCTCGCGGGCTGCTCCACTTAAACGACTGTCAGCGACATCATCAAGCAAGATAAAACTTAATGCCTACTCTGGACCCGGGGTTTGCATCTAAACAAACTCCCACTTTCCCATCAATCACTCCACCGTACTGGTTCATCTTCTCTAGCTGGTAGGTATCATTGTAGCTTGCAACGTGGGTGAACATTTGTTGGCCATTTTTTCTGAACATCTGCATCGGCTGTTTGTAGCTGATGGTGGCTGGCAAGTACCTTCGTTGGTTCCCGCAGTCGTATTGAAGATTGGATACTTACTTGTCCATTAATTCGAGGAGTTTTCCGTACTGTAGCTAGGCATATGGGTTATTGGTGTCGTGTCGCTGGACGTTGTCCCAATCTGAAGCTTAAAGTTCTGGTAGTAAGGGTAGAGTGTCGAGTTAATTTGTCCTCTGTGTTTGAATGGAATGTAGAATGCCCCGCCCCCGTTAACGAAATTGTACGAATCGGGTGTCTGGTTGGTGGTGAAGACATAACACTCGCACGCCCAGTCCAACGCCATCCAATATGCCTTGTCTTCGTCGTATATCCGCGACCCAGAGAAAAGCGGGATATCTTCACTGGGAGACATAGTAAGCTGGCAGTGCGCAGAGCGGGAAAGAACTTACACGCTCCAGAAGGATGTTCCACTTGGAGGCATTAGTTGAATCGGAGAGGATGGTGTGCGGGTTGATTGGCGACGAAGTGGTGTGTCCTGTATAAGCGAGCCTTCCAGGCTGGGTGATCCTATATGTACCACTGAATCTTCGCTTGATATTAGAGAAACATTGGCGGGATTGTATAGGCCCTGAGCCGCTGGAACAGGTCCGTTTAGAGTAGTTGTTGAAGAAGTCATGCCAAATGACTGATTGGAACAAAACTCTTCCACAATCTGGACAGTTGAGCTTAATGAAGTATCTGCAGCATGGCTAAATTTGATGAGGTCCGTATGGTTGGTGTTGATTGACAATCGGCGCTCCCCTGCAACACCCAAATGGCAGACTGCTCGTCAACAATATACTCACACTTTCAGTGATCGGTAGTGGTCAATGAGCCTAATGTCACGTACCCATACTCTCTTCCCCACCACGGGCCATCCAATCCTCGTTTTCTTGGTCTCGTACAAGGTTGCGATTTTGATATGGTTCCTGTCTGCTAGGAGCCGCCCGAAACTGTTGCCCAGAGCGAACAGGTCCGTGGACGCTGGCCGTAGTGAGCTGATAAGGTCATAACGGACGTCGACGTTGAAAGCTCGCACAAAATTCGCAACGAACTTGGCGCCGTCAACCCCGTTTCCACCACGATGTGGAGTGCCGAAGAAGACCACACCCCTCACAGAATTTAGGATTGCTTTGTATTGCCCATCGGCCTCCAACTCCCTAGCGAGTAGGAGTGCCTGAAGAATGTCAGCCATAATCGACGGATTAAGGACGCATCCAAGCACCTTTTTAATGACCAAACCACCCATAGAGTGAGCCAGGAGAACTAGTGGCCTACATGGCTTCATAGTGTCAATCTATCACGTTAATCACAAGCACAGATTTACTCACATCCCTCTGCCTTATATGTCATAATTTTTCAAGAAACGTCTCCGCAAAATTGCCCAGCCTCGCTGCTGACACTGCATCACCGACAACCTTCGCGTTATATCCGTACACCATGACACGAGCGTTTGGCGCTTGCTCTGGAAGATGATCTCGAAGCCATATGAATCGAGTATCCTTGCACTCCCAAGATTCAAACGAGTGACCGTTTAGACCGTGCAGGGCGATACTCATCAGGAAAAACCGCGCCGAGCCGTAGCACCCTGCCAAGGGTCCATTGGCTGACTCGTCCGACATTCCGCAGGGCCCACCATCATTTCGGTACATCGAGGTACAGGTGATACTGAGTATTATACCGGGACCCTTGATCATGGTTGAAAAACATATGTAGTATCTTATGTATATTGTGCAATCACAACAATAGTGACTACAAGGAGCAACTACAGTCTGATGTGCGAAAACAGCCCGATGTCAATGTGTGAATTGAGATAAAAGGAGGGGGCCTCATCCAGTACGTTCTCTGAGGTCCAGTCTACGTCTATCTTCTTGTTGCATTTACCCATCAGATGACAGCCCCGAACGAAATGCTCGACGGAAACCACTGAGGACTTTCGCCGATGGGTGCGAGTAGACCGTTGGATAACGAACATACCAGCCACGGGATCGAAGCGGCGCAATGGTGTGAACCATTCAACGTATGCCAACGGCAACGGGTGCGAGCCAAACTGCGGGGGTAGGGTAAATATAACCCGTATTTGAGCCACTTGGACCTGACCTAAAGCACGACACTGTAAGTTAAATGGGTGAGTGGGACATGGAGCCAAGACGCACCTATTAGGTCCTTGTTAGCTTTGTACGACCCCATGTCCTCTATCACCAATGCTGTATCAAAGTGTGGTGGAATAGCCTTCTTGCGTCCTTGTCGAGGTTGCGCGCAAGTTGCACGAAGTTGAGTCATCCAGGTGTCGCTATTGAGGAACCGATTTTGAGCCTGATATAATGTGATTTTCTTGTAGACATCGAACCGGTCATAGGAAGATGGTTCAATGCGAGATGTAGGGTCTATCTTTCTAAGATAAGCTGTAAGTGTAGGCGCGAAGTCAATGGCACCGTGGAGGGTCTCGAGTTCGGCTAGTGTGCGGCAGAAAGGGGCAACCTTCGCAATTTTGAAGGATGTAGGAGCGGAAGGAGTGGGAGGAGTATGAGGGAGTGCATGTTCGTCTTCATCTTCGGCGCTTTGAACGTGTTTCATAGGGAGGGTTGGATCCCATTCATCGGCAGGTTTTGTAACTAGCGCAGGGATACAGTTATGTTTCCACTGAATGAAAGAGGAGCGTAAGTGTATGGCTTCGCGTCGTTGAAGCCAAACAGCCATTTGCTCCAGGAAATCCCGTCGGTTCGAAGCACGGTAAGCTTCTTTCGCAAAGTCGATATGAAGTCGTTCGGGTGATTCACAGTTATAGCCGTCGAGACTACCAAGCTGTTTGATGGCGTCGATGTAGTGCTGTATGGCATGGAGCTTGGGGATGTTGAAATGGTCCCGAATTCCGAGCTCAATGAAGATATCTTTGTGCTTGTGGAAACACTCGAGGGAGACTTGCAATGCGTGGAGTGATGTTGTGGTATGTGATTGAAATTGTGCGTAGTAGATGAAGTCCACGAGCGCCCGTACCACAGTGAGAACTTCGTTGTTGACAGCACCAACCATGACTCCCACGAATACCTTCTGCATTTCTTTATGCTCCTTCCCAGTCCACTGCGAAATCCCGGATATGCCTTTCTTGAAGTGACGAAGTGCAGGTGCATCTGGCATGGCCTTGAAGCGAGCATCAAGTTCATCCGCACCTATAATATCACTACACCATTTGACAAGGTGATCTTTAAACACGCCTTTGTGAAGCTGATGCAAAATATCAGGCGTGATGGCAGTGAAGATGTTGCAATGAGGAAGGTGTCGCCAGAAGGGTTTGTACACGGCACGTAGCCCATGTTGATTAAATTCTGGGGGAGGGAACTCGTCCTTTCGGTGCGCTTTCAATATTTGCAGTGTGGCCGCAGGCTCTCGGATTTGTACAGCTTTCAACAGCTTGCCACGATGCTCTGGACGTACGACACAACGAGGACACTGGTTCTCCTTGCAGCAGGCAATGAGGCACTGCTCGGGATAGTCGGCTACATATGCTGCGAGAACGGGATGCAACTTGCGAATGAACGTGTCGGCGCAAATCATTTCCACTCCATCATTTCCCGCAGCTATCAACGGTTCGACCAGCTTCGACATGCACTTGTGGAATAAGCGATAGATTTCCAGTGAGCGCACCGCCTTCGAAAAGCATTGGAGCTTCGCAACCGGAAGGTAACCAATCAAAACGGTGCCATGGCAGGATGGGCGACGGCGGATTTCTTTTGACAAGTTCCCGATTGACAAGTAGACTGGCCAGGCAGATTTATCACCACCGAAATTGGACAGCTGAGTTTTATCAGAGGCAAGGATAACTGGTGCGACAAAGGAGCCCTTTGGCAAGGTTTCCTGGTGTATCATTGGTGAGCATATATATTTCTTACTCTAAATCTGTGCTAACGTTGTCACACTAAGTCAGGTTAATGAATTAGTGCCCAGATGGTCATGGACTACGGCGTCGAGTTGCACCTGGTTGTTCGTTGATTTCGGGATTTATTGGAATAGAGGAAATACTCTCAGAAGGGTATGGATAGGGTGAGGTCGGTTATTAGAAATAGTATGTCAATCAACAATACTACTCCTAAGTAGATAGGGGTGTGGTGGTGTATCTACTTGTACGATAAGTAGCAAGTATATACGGGGTTATAGGTCTATATAATAAACCTATGGAATGAACTAGGTAGCTAATAAACTGAAGTTAGTATGCCAGAATCCTACTCGTTTCAGATCTGGACTTGTAAAGGGTTTCCCTACTCGTTTCGGGATAGTCAAACTGTCAAAATAGCGTTACTGACACCTACTCGTTTTCAGTGCAGACTTAGCTGTTAGTGCGTTACTGTCACCTACTCGTTTCGGTGCAGACTTAGCAAAAGAAATAGACTGTACTTACTTTTCAGGTCTCTACAAACGATAATGCTGGTATCCTACTCGTTTCAGATACAGCCAAACTCAAGAACTAGAATGTGGGTGATAACTTGTATATTTATTGGCAGAGAGACTAGCTCCCTTTTATACCTAAACTATTTGTACCTAAGAACAATGGTAATAATAGTGAGGTAAATACAAATAAATACGGGGAACAATGGTCTTTAAGAAACAAAGACCTACAGGAATAATAGGACAAATAATAGTACACAGTAGTATAATAGAGGTAGGACAATGGTCTTTAAGAACAAAGGCCTATTAGAACAATAGAGTAAATAAGGGTATACAGTGGAATAATGGAGAGACAATGGATACCATTATAAGTGGTTTCCATATCAACAATAGAAGATGTAGAACAATAGAATCCATAACTATTGGTTTCTATGGTGAATTTCCATGACGAACGAACGTCAATGGAAAGATAGAACAATAACCCAACAATGGATAATATCCTAGGGGCTTCGCTCCTAGGGGTTCAGGGGTTCATCCTAGTTCCTAATGTCTTTATACCGAACCTATGTTCTGGTATGACATTAATCGTGGGGAACTTAGAATTTGACTGTCCTCAGTCATTCCAGTATGAAGCGATGATGGATTATTCGATTTTTGTATATAAAAAAAAAAGAAAGCCAACGAAAGACGAGAAGTAATAATTGCAAAGATAAAGGTAGCTATAAAAAAATGTGTCATTGAAAGGACATTGGATTATAAGGAAAAGAAAATAGAAAAATGAAGTGACGGGTATTTAATCGAAAATATGGACTTTATAACGCATGGAGGAAGGGGCGACGATAATTTCCGGCTGATCAAGAAGCGCACTATCCTCATCCAGGAGGCGGCGATCTTCTGATAACAAAGCGACATGGTCCTTATGAAACCAGAACGAAACAAATACCTTATGTTCCACTTGAAGCCCTTCATCATACAGCCTACGGTTAAACCGAATGATGACCCTAATAAAGTGACCATCAGACGTCTGGGAGTGAAATCCCACCACAGCACCGAAGCCATAATGGCGTGGCTCGAAGACGATGCTATCCAAGGATAGCAAGGAGTTAGTGGGAGAGGCGAGGAGTTGTCCCTCAAAGGGATCAAGAATATCCTCGACGTCGATTACTGTAATAGCAGAGCGGGGGTGGAATATGCGGATTTCCGTGCAGAAGGCGAGCGTCTTGCGTTCCAGACGGCATCCCCTACCAAGGGCTTCCTTCAAGGCAGGTGAAGGTACACCATCCAGGAAGATAATTCCTGGGTGACCAGCGAGGAGGAATGGTGTGAGGGCGGTGATGACGATTTCGTTGGTATGCTGGAAAATGTCTGTTAAGACATCGCCTATAAGGCTCGGTATTGCGCCTGGTACTTCAACCGTTGGTGTCGAATCTAAGGGTCGGAATGCGGGAAGGAAAAAGGATATGGGGGGTATAATGATATCCGGCTGCTGAGCCAGAGCCTCCTCAAGTTCGCGTCCCCATGACGTGGTAGGCACATTGACTGGGGCTGAGGTGTTTGAGGATGAAGACATGACGTTGGCGATAGGTGACAAGTGACGACTATGGTATTGGTTGGTGAGCAATGATGATAGTGACGATTGTCGAGCGTAACGTTGCTAGCAGAGTGTTCTGTCTAAAGAGACTGCCTATGTGTCGACACCTTCAACATATTGCAGGGTCATTCGTTCCTGGAATTTTTTAAGGGTCCAGTTCCAATTTTGGGCATGGCAATCTTAAACCTTTTTTGGTATTCTTTAACTCCGGAAGACTTCGAGTCCCTTGATGAAGCTTAATTCAATCGCTACCTGTTTTCCTAATTTTAGTCCTTGGCCACCATAGTACTGGGTCGTTCCTTTTTGTTCCGTTTAGTTGTAACTTCGGGCTGGACTCCTTGGAGTCGCGGGGAACTTATAGTTTGTTCTTTCGTCATGAATTAGATTTCATAACTTGGAATAACTATTAAGTGTAGACGTGGAATGGTAGTTTACAACTAAAATTTACTAGCAATCCAGTTGACTACATAGGACCTAGTAGATTGAAACCATTCGCCCCATAAAGTTTTCCATCCGTCCTTAATGTCCCACACGTCCACCCATAAGAACCTTTCGGCTTCAAACTCTCCTGTCTGCCGATTATACCAATGGACTAAAATTTTAAAGTCCCGACCATTTCGTCCAATGATTTGGGCTACCCATCCAATGCGTGTCTCTGTGGACAGGCATGCATGAATTGAAATGGGTTGTTCAGTATATGTGATCCGATGTTGATGGTGGGTTGGCAGAATCGCAAACTGCTCATGGTAAGCAGTGCGAATTCGGATTGATGGGGGTTCAAAATTGCCGTATCGAATGGTGGGCAAGTAGCTGTCCTGAATATGTATGGGTCGCGTTGGGGAATAGGCTGGGGGAGGATATGTGATAGGTGGTAGGGTAATGGTTTCCCTTTCCTGAATTTCTTGGAAGTTTGAAGTAATGGACATAGAGGATGATAAAGGCGGTTTAGCAGATTGATGGTGATGGTTTGAGAGTTAGTTTTCTTCTGCAAATGATTCGTCCATAAAAAAATTCTCTGAGTCCACATCTCCTGGGAATTCGTCTGTATCCAGTTCTTCTTGGAATTCCAAAAGGGGGTCATTGCGGGTAAGGTACTTAATGATCCGAAAGGCGGCATAAGGGTCACTATGTACTGCTCCATCCAGCTCCTTTATCACATATGTCCCATTAGGAGTTCGTCGTACTACTTCGTAAGGGCCTAGATAGCGTGGTCGAGTCTTGAATCTTGTTAAATGATCTTCGAGTCTGGTATTTCTGACCAGAACCAATTCTCCTGGTTCGTAGGATTCCTTTTGGATTCGGTGGTGGTACCGCTTCATAAACTGGTCCCGTGAAGCACATCTCGCTTTCCTAAGTGTCTCAGCAGCGGCTGCCAAGTCTTCCTCTCGTTTCTCTAGCTGCCTGAGGCGCAATGCCAGCAACTCTGAGCTTGACATATTTTTCCTGAATCCTACTACTAAAAAGCTTGCCTCGACATAGTCCAAAGGCAATACGGGGTGTACACCGTGTAGTAAGTAATACGGTGAGTATCCTGTGACAGAGTTCACAGTTACGCGGTCAGCGAATAGGGCGGCGTGCAGGTGTTTATGCCAGTTGATGACTTCTCCAGTTGGTGTCTTCTTGCAGCTCTTGACTATGGCTTCTCGTAGGATGAAATGTCCTCTTTCTACAACTCCGTTGGCATGCTTATTGTAGCTTGATATGCGGACTTGAGGGATTCCCAGACGTTTGACTAAGTCACTAAATGCAGCAGCTACTTCTCCTCCATTATCTGTCACTACATGTCCTACTGCTCCGTAACGACAATAAATGTGTTGCCAAAAGAATTCGGCTAATACATGAGAGTTTGCCGCACTGATGGCCTTGGCTTCAGTTATTCCTGTTAGATCGTCTTTGGCAGCAACGATGAATTTGAAACCACCTGAGTGTGGATTCATGGTCATTACATCAATATAGACTTTCTGAAAAAGTGTAGCAGGGGCTGATATCTCGTATGGCATTTGCAGGATTTTGGTGTTCCGAGTCTGACATTCATGACATGTGGAGACATGGTAGTGGACATCGGGTCGAAGGTGAGGCCAGTAATATCTGATTCTAATGAGATCAAATACAGCCTGTTCTCCTTTGTGACCTAGGTTTTCATGGGATTCTTGCAGTATTCTCTTTCTCCTATTTGGGTCTAGGATTACTTGCTGTGGAGGTTGATTCACTATTCGTCTGAACATTCTTCCTTCATGAATAAAATATCCTGAGGCCTTCTTGAGGAACCTCTTTTGAGCTTGAAGGGAGACTAGGGATGGTAGTTCGGAAGTGTGCAAATATTGAGAGATTTCTTGCAGTCGTTCGTCCTTGTATGTCACTTTCGGATGTAAGGAGGGTAAGGTGAGAACTTTGGCAGGGGTCATGGTGAAGGTTCTATTGGCTTTAGGTCTGTTGGAAGGTATTGAAACAGTCAAGGCTATATTGTCTAGCCATTCTTCATTATCCTCGATAAAGTCTTCAGATAGGGGTCTTCTCCTAGACAGGGCATCTGGGCCACGATGTTTGTCCGCGGGAATGTGAACTAGTTCAAAATCAAACAGAAGAATACCTTGAATCCACCGATTCATTGCATTGTTTGGTTGAAGATCTGGTTCTTTCAACATTCCTTTAATATACTTTGCGTCTACCTCCACTATCAGCTTCTTGGCTCCGATTATGTATATTCTCCAATGTCGCAAGGCTCGGTATAACCCGTATAGTTCCAGTTTGGGTTGGGAGTATCTTGATTCTCTATCTCCCATTGGTAATGATCCATATCTTGCGGGTCGTTTCCTTCCTTGATCATCGATTTGGGACAATATGAATCCTACTGCTATATAGCTTGTATCCACTGATAAGATAATTGGGTTGTTGGATTTGTAGTCAATGGTCCGTAGAGCTGGTGCTGATGTGACTCGCAATTTGAGTTCTTCAAAAGCTTCTTGTTGTCGGTCCGTCCATACGAAGTCGGTATCTTTTCGGACTAACTCTGTAAGAGGTCTGGCTAGCCTTGAATAGTCCTTTATCCATATTCGGACTGTTCCACAGATTCCTAAGAATCCCCGGATCTCCTTGACATTTTCGGGGGTAGGCCATTTCAGAATTTTTCCAACCCTTTCTTCATCAGGGCATCTTCCTTCCGGAGTACATTTTTGACCTAGAATTACAACGTTTGGTCGGCAGATATGGGTTTTCTTTCCTGAGAATGTGGCTCCTGCACACTTGACACGATGCATTATCCTGTGCACATCTACCGCATGTTCCCAAATGAAACGGCGTATTCCTTTATTATCAGGAATTGTCTCAGGCCTTCCCTCATCGTCTAAGTATTGTGATTCCGGTCCTTTCACTGGGAGATCATCAATGAAGATGTTGGCAATATGCGGAATTTCGTCTTGAAGAATATGCACCATGCATTTCTGAAATTCTGTGGGAGAGTTGGTATATCCCATAGGTAATGCGGTGAGTCGTAACATTCCTAGTGGTGTCCAAAATGCCGTCATGTCCCTGGATGCAGGGTCCACTATACGGGCGTCAAATCCCCAGAATAGATCAAATGTGGTACAGCATTGGCGTCCGGCAAAGGGTTCCACAAAATCGTCTACTATGGGTAGTAGTCCAGCATCACGTATAGAGACTTTATTCAAAGGTTGTAGGTCGTGAACGATTCGTAGGCTTCCATTCTTTTTCAACACACAGAACCACCGGTTTCTATAGGATGACTGGCAGAGTTCATAAACGCCTGCGTCTATTTTACTCCTAAGCATCTCTATGACTTTATCTTTGATTCCTGGCGGTATAGGAATGTTCTTGTATTCCCATGGTGTGTGTGGAACTGTCGCCATAATATAATCGGAAAAGTACTCCTTCTTTAGTGTTCCTCGATCTTGCTCTTCAAAGGCTAGAGCGCCTTCGTTTAGTCGGAGAATGTGTTTGAATAGTTTTTCTTCTTCAGGCCATAAGAAATTGTCCTTGTTGACTTCCATCATAGAGATTCTTTCCTCCGTAAGTCGTTCGGTGGGTATAAAGTCTGGCGGTTGAGTAGGTAACTCTGGAAGAGAGTCTAAGGGGTTGGTAGGGAAGGTCCGGTTAACTTTGGCATCCTCGGGGTATACTCCCGATACAGGGTGTATCTTTTGGCCGACTCGTTTATACGCAGTGTATGCCTTGAAATTCCAGTCATGAAACTCGCCGGGAGCTTCTACTGGCATTAATAAGGTATCTTCTTCCCAATCTATGTCGGAGGGTTGGGCATATAATTGTTGGATTTCGGAGTCTATTTGGTGTAGGAGATAAACTCCTGAGTGGTTATCCTGCACCATAGTTCTAGGGTATGTAAAGTAGATTGGCCTGCAACTTTTGCCTTAGGTGATGGTTGTAAAGACTATTTGAGTAGTTATAAGTAACTTGTTGAATGGGTATAAAAAAAAAAAACGGAAAAGAGTACGACCAGCGTGTAATGGTAATGAAGGTAATTTGGTACTAGTTTGTATACTAAATGTCTGCGGGGTTGGGAGATTTCCAAGTAATAGCATGGCGTCTACCATGGCCATCAAAATAGTATGTAGGGTCTAAGTATCCATCATCCAGGAGTTGGCGCACATCGTCCTTCATGAAGCAGGTGAGCCGTCGCAAATGACGAACTGCGTTAGACAGGGGTGTTCGCCTGGCTAATTCAAAGGCTTTCCCAATATAGGCCAGGTATGAATCTTCGTTGATGGTAAGTAATGGGTTGTCGGACGGGTAAGGATGTTCCTCGTAAATGGGTTCGTGAGGTTCGTTTAACGAATGGATACACCGTTGACTGAACCCTTGCGTGATTACTGGAGAGTCGGGGTCAAGGAAACGGAATATGGAACAATGGTTGTAGAAGAAATGGCGAACTGGGTTTTCGGTGGATAGAGTATCGATATGTTTGCGGAAAGAGCCTCGAAGGAAGTAGTCGGTAATATGTTGCA